CCTTTGTCGCTGAGCTGGTTGACTTTGCTGCTGCCTGTCGTCTGGACTACGCCGCTAGTCTTGTTGCTGAGTCTGAGTCTGTCTGTCCTCCGTCCGTCGGGGGTGAGTGTGCTCTTAGCACGGACGTCCTTGAGGATAGGCAGGAGGATCTTGAGTGTCTTGCAGCCGCTGCGCCTCATCTCGTGTCCATGCTGCTTGCCCCTGAGGGAGACCCGGATGCACCAGACATCCCGACCCCGCGCTCTTACGCTGAGGCGATCGCGGGTGAGTACTCCTCTCAGTGGCAGACAGCCATGGATGCAGAGATGGCATCCTGGAAGTCCACAGGCACTTACGTTGACGAGGTTCCCCCTCCTGGGGCGAACATCGTCAGTGGCATGTGGATTTTCAGGGTGAAGCGGCCGCCAGGTTCTCCGCCTGTCTTCAAGGCTCGTTACGTTGCTCGAGGCTTCAGTCAGCGAGAGGGAGTAGACTTCTTCCAGACCTTCTCCCCCACCCCGAAGATGACCACTCTTCGGGTGCTGCTGCACGTTGCCGCTCAGCGTGACTACGAGCTTCACTCTCTTGACTTCAGCACAGCTTTCTTGCAGGGCAGCGTGCATGAGGAGATCCGGCTGCGCCACCCTCCTGGCTTCACTAGGTCGTTTCCTCCTGGTACCCAGTGGAGCCTCCGGCGGCCGGTCTACGGTCTCCGCCAGGCGCCACGTGAGTGGCACGACACACTGAGGACTACACTTGCGGCTCTTGGGTTCGCGCCTTCTACTGCTGACCCGTCGCTGTTTCTGCGCACCGACTCTTCACTGCCGCCATTCTACATCCTCGTGTACGTCGACGACTTGGTCTTTGCCACTGCTGACACTAAGGCTCTCGCCCACGTGAAGTCGGAGCTGCAGAAGAGACACACGTGCACAGACCTGGGTGAACTGCGCAGCTACCTTGGCTTGCAGATCACCCGGGACAGAGCACGCCGCACCATCACACTGACGCAGTCACACATGGTGCAGCAGGTCCTTCAGCGCTTCGGCTTCACCTAGTCCTCGGCACAGGCCACTCCTCTGGCTACAGGTCACTCGCTCTCAGCTCCACCTTCGGACGAGTCCGTAGAGCCAAATGGTCCTTACCCAGAGCTAGTTGGCTGCCTCATGTACCTGATGACTTGCACTCGTCCTGACCTCGCGTACCCTCTTGGCCTTCTGGCTCGCTACGTGGCTCCTGGTCGGCACCGACCTGAGCACATGGCTGCTGCTAAGAGGGTACTGCACTATTTGTGCAGTACATCAGGCATGGGGCTAGTGCTTGGAGGGAGGAGCTCAGTTGTTCTCACTGGGCACTCAGACGCTTCTTGGGTTGACGACCAGGCTACTCAGCGGTCGTCACAGGGTTACACCTTCAGCCTTGGCTCTGGTTCGGTTTCTTGGCGTTCTACTCGCTCGTCTTCAGTTCTCAGCTCCAGTTGTGAGGCTGAGATCTACGCCACAGCCATGGCTGCACAGGAGTTACGCTGGCTCACCTACCGTCATCGCCCGGATATAAGACATATATGTCTTATCTCATACACTAAAAAAAAATGCTTGGGTTATCTTGTATTTGGGGAGGTTTTGGGTGTCTTATAAGTCTTATAAATGGAAACTTTTTTAAACTACTTAGAAATATTTTCACACATCTTGAAAAGAGTTTCTCATTATGAGTGTGGATGTTGCGAAGGTGCCACTTCGGCAACCATTGTTCGGGGTGCCACGTCATGGAGAATACTTGCAAAGGCAAATTTGGTAGTACATGAGTCAGCACGTGGCAGAATTCGCGTGTCGCAAGGGTAAAAATGTACGCGGTACTTCAATTTTCACTATAATATATTGCAGTTTCGATTATAAGACACATATGTCTTATCTCGTACACACAAATAGGTGTCTTATAATGAGGCTAGCCTGTTTATAAGAGACACCCGTATAATAGACAACCCCTGTCTACTATTCAACACTGTCTTATATCCGGGTGATGACGGTACCTGCTGACCGACTTGGGAGAGCGGCCTCGTTCTCCTCCAGTACTGTACGTCGACAACAAGGCTGCCATTGCCTTGTGTGAGGAGCACAGACTGGAGCACAGAACGAAGCACATCGCTCTGCGTTACTTCCTGGCTCGAGAGTTGCAGCAGCGTGGTCAGCTTCGTCTGCGTTACGTGGCCACTCAGGCCAACACCGCTGATATATTCACCAAGGCACTTCAGTCTGGTGATCATCAGCGTTTCTGCACTATGCTGGGGCTTGTGCCCACTTTTCCTCACTTGCTGTAGGCTTTGTCTGTACTGTGATCTGTCTATATATATACCTGCATGCTTGCTTTGCTAGATTGAGATCACTGTGTTGTTTGTAGTGCATATATACATCTGCATGTGAACTGGCCTTGTGGCCCTTTGCTTGTGCTCAGTGTGTGTGGTGACGTTGTGATCCACCCTGAGCTTGCTTTGCTTTTCTTGATTGGTCTTGTGATCTCCTGCTCTCCCCCACTTTGCCTATGGGGGTGTGTCAAACTGTCAAATGTAATTCTATGCTTGTAGGCTACAGTGAGTAGCACAATAGGGAGTACAGTTGTTAGGGTTGCATATTTGTACTTCCACACTTCCTAGTTTCATTCATTCCGTTGCATTCCTATTCTGAGATGGTATCACGAGTAGGTTAGATCCTCGTTCGTTCATTAACTAGCCTCCACGCCCTACGCGCCCTCCGTGCTCTCGCGCCCTCCGCGCCCTCCGCGCCCTCCGCGCCCTCCGCGCCCTCCTCACGCCTAGCCCGCGCCCTCCCGCGCTGTCCAGCCCGTTGCGCGCCCTCCAAAACCGTCGTGCGCCCTCCTTAGACCGCCGCGCGCCCTCCCTCATCGTCGCGCGCCCTCCTCAACCGTCGCGCGCCCTCCTTAGATCGTCGCGTGCCCTCCCCTCCGCCTGTCGCGCGCCCTCCTCCGTCAACGCTTCCCGCACACCTGCGTGCACTCCCCGCACACCTGCGTGCCCATACCGCATCACTATGTGTGCGCTTCCCGCACACCTGCGTGCGCTTCCCGCACACCTGCGTGCCCTTACCGCACACCTGCGTGCACTTACCGCACACCTGCGTGCGCTTACCGCATCACTCTGTGCGCTTACTGCATCTCTCTCCCCTTCACCTGTGCACCGGTCCCACGCCATTCCTACTGCACTTGGCTCCCGGCTCAGCGGCTGGCAGCCGCTCTTCCCTCTGGTAGCGCCACCTAGGTTCGGTTAGAGCCCCGCCCCACGACTATTTTCTCGCCGACTGTCTCTCGTCGTTTTCCCCGCTGGCGTCCCTAGCCCTCCGTAGTTTTCCTCCTCGTTCTTAGCTTCGCCTCCGCCGTGCTCCAGTCGCCTCTAGCATGGGCTCCGCTATGGAGGCCCGTCGCCTCCGTTTCGATGCTGAGGGACGCCCGATCGAGTTCGGTACCTGGCAGCGCCAGACCACACGTTTCCTCACCAGCCAGCGTCAGGACGGCGCCACTCTGTGGGCCCACGCGTCGGGTGCTCTCGCGGCACCCCCATCCCCCGCCGCCTTGCCGACCGCCCCGGAGCCCACTCCTACGGCCCAGGCGGACTACGACCGTCGGGTCATGGCTTGGGACGTGTGGCTCTCTCGCGACGCGGCCGCCGCCCTCACGCTGTCGGAGCTTCTCCCCCCGACTGAGGCCGCTCACTTTGACTAGGTGGAGACAGCCAAGGGGGTTTGGGATGCTATTGTGGCTCGCTATTCCACCCCCTCCTCCGCCTCCCTCAGTCGCCTCCTCATGCTGTTCGTGTTTCCCGACCTAGGCTCGTTTGCGACTGTTTCCGACCTAGTGACTCACCTCCGCTCGCTTGACGCCGGTTTTCGTTCAGCCTGTACCGACGCACAGCTCCTAGTTGCTCCCCCCCCCCATGTGGCTCACTGTGCACTGGTTAGTCACCCGCCTCCCTGACCGCCTTGCCACTGCCCGCGACGCGCTTCTTCAGAAGCACCCCACTGAGCTCACTATAGACCTCCTTCAGACTGCTCTCGGGACCATCGAGAGCAGCCTCCTCACCGTTGCCTCCGCCACTGATGCGGTGGCCCCCCGTCTCTTTGCGGGGTGTGCCGCCCCCCAGCTTCCCACTTTCACCTCTACTCGCGCTTCTGCTGCTGTGTCGGTCTCTGAGGACACCGCTGCCGTTTCTGCCGCAGGCTGGCAGAAACGGGGCAAGAGTGGCAAGAAGGGCGGGAAGGGGGGAGGTGGGGGCGGTGGAGGTGGCGGTGGAGGTGGGAGCGGCGGTGGTGGCGGAGGCGGCGGCGGCGGCGGCGGTGGTGCGCCAGGGGGAGGGGGCCTTGGAGGAGGTGCAGGACAGACAGGCCCACCCCCAGGTGGTGGCCCGACCGGTGGGGGCGTTGTCCCCCAGCAGCAGCAGCCACAGCAGCACCAGCCACAGCAGGGACAGCAGCAGCAGCAGGGACAGCAGCAGCAGCAGGCACCGCAGCAGTTCCAGCAGTGGGGGCCCCCGCTGCAGTGGGGTCCGCAGCAGCACTGGGGTCCTCCGCCGCAGTGGGGTCCGGGAGGCCCTGGGAGCACCGGCCGCAGCAGCAGCTCTTCCAGCTGGGCCCCTCGCCCCCCTCGCCGTGACGCTGGCCCCTGCACCCACTGGTGCCTCACCGGGCCGGGCAGCCCCTGTCTCTGTGGTCGCGACGACCACTCTGCCGCGCGGTGCTTCCGCCGCCTCGACGACCTCTACCGGGCTCGTTGGGGCCCTCTGGCGGTCACGCCTCGCTGGTCTCGCCTGTTAGCCCGTAAGATTGATGTCTTTGATCTGTCCATGGACGATGCGCGTCAGCATGCTTTGTATGTTGATGCTGACTTTAGTGCTGATGGGTCTGTGTGCTCGCGTGTTCGTAGGTTAGCCTGCTTGCCTCCTGCTAGTGTAGCCTTGAGCCTGTCTAGCTTAGGTGCTTGTGTTGCTGCTCTAGGTGCTTGTGTAGCGACTGGGTCAGGTGACCCTCCGGCTGAGGCCTCTCTGTCGTTCACGCTGGACTCGGGCGCGTCTCAGTGCTTCTTCCGCGACCACACGACCCTTACGCCACTCCTCACCCCTGTGTCGGTGGCTCTGGCTGATCCTACCTCTGGACCAGCCGTTGCGCGTACCTCCACCACCCTCCCGTGCCCTGTGGTCCCCTCTGGTGTCCTGCGCGGCCTCCACATCCCCTCGTTCACTCGGAACTTGGTGGGTGTTGGATACCTCCAGGACAGGGGGATCACGGTTACCTTCGTGGGGGGTGGGCGGACTGCAGTCTGTACTGACGCTACCACAGGTGCTGTTCTGGCCACTTTCACCAGGGAGCCCCGCTTCGGTCTCTACGTTCTCCACACCGAGCGCTCCCCGGTCGCGTCCTCCCCTCAGGTCGCTGCGTCCCCTCCGACCCAGGTCCCCAGTCCAGTTGCTGTGTCTAGCCAGGTAGTCGTGTCCAGTCCGGTCGCTGTGTCCAGTCCAGTCGCTGCGTCTTGCTCCTGTCGCTCTCTTGCCCACCGCACCGTCCTGTGGCACCACCGCCTTGGCCACCCGTCGATCCCTCGCCTTCGTGGCATGCTCAGTCAGGGACTTGTCACAGGTCTCCCACGCACCTTCCCGTCGCTCCCTCTCTCGCTTGCCCCTCCTTGCTCTCCGTGCGTCGCCGGTCGCTTACGCGCCACTCCCCACTCCTCCTCCCTTCGTCCGGCCACCGCTCCCTTCGAGACTCTCCACTTGGACGTCTGGGGCCCTGCCCCGACGCAGGGGTCTGGGAGAGAGCGTTACTTTCTGGTGGTCGTCGACGACTACTCCAGGTACACCACCGTGTTCCCTCTTGCGAAGAAGTCCGAGGTGACTGCTGCGCTGATCAGGTGGCTTCTAGCCACTGAGGGCACTCGTGGTCGTTGAGTCAGTTGTCTTCACTCCGACCGTGGGGGCGAGTTTCGCTCCGGCATTCTCGGCGGATTCTGCGGCGAACAGGGCATCACCCAGTCCTGGACGCTGCCAGAGTCCCCACAGCAGAATGGGGTTGCTGAGCGCCGCATAGGCCTGGTCATGGACATCGCCCGCACGTCCATGATCCATGCCCGTGCGCCCCATTTTCTGTGGCCTCACGCGGTTCGCTACGCCTCACACCAGCTGAACCTCCAGCCGCGTGTCTCGCGGCCCGAGGCTTCACCGACCAGTCTTTGGACTGGTTCCCCTGGTGTTGGGTCGGCCTTTCGAGTCTGGGGCTGCCTTGCACTTGTTCGCGACACCTCCGCGGACAAGCTCTCGGCACGCGCCGTCCCCTGTGTCTTCCTTGGTTTCCCAGTGGACTCTGCCGACTGGTCGTTTTACCACCCGCCCCTCCACCAGTTCCTAGACTCCCGTGACGTCCGGTTTGACGAGTCTGAGTCCTACTACACCCGGTACCCCTGTCGAGGTCTCCCGGTACCCCCTCCCCCCCTGTTCCTAGCACCCTCTCCTCCTCCTGCTCCTGCTCCTCCGGTACCCCCGCCCCCCCCTGGTCCTGCCCCGTCTGGTGTGTCTCACGCTACCCCTCTACCCTCGGTCGTGCGTCAGGTAGCGTCTCCCTCCCCACAGTCCTCCTCACAGTCCCCTCAGCAGCCTTCGGCACTTCCGCGACAGGTTACTGTGGACTCGGTTGGTGTTGGAGCTGGAGGTGCAGCCGCTGGCGGTGCTCGGTCTGGGGGTGCTCGGTCGCGGGGTGCTGGAGCAGGAGGTGCTGGCGCAGGTGGCGCTGGCTCTGGGGGTGCTGGAGCTGGAGGTGCTGGCACTGGAGGTGCTAGTTCTGGGGGTGCTGGAGTTGGCGGTGCTGGCACTGGCGGTGCTAGTTCTGGGGGTGCTGGAGTTAGAGGTCCTGGCACTGGAGGTGCTGGTTCTGGGGGTGCTGAGTCTGAGGCGACTGACGCTGGAGACCCTGGTTCTGCAGAGTCCACTCCGCCTCCCCACCGCCACGACACGCGTCTCCAGGCTGCCCGTCGGCGTGAGCGTGAGGAGCAGGAGCGGTTGGAGAGGGAGCGGCAGGAGCTGCGGGTGCTGGACCTTCTGGAGCAGCAGCGGCAGCAGCAGCAGCAGCAGCAGCAGCCGCAGCCGCAGCCGCAGCAGCAGCAGCCGCAGCCGCAGCCGCAGCAGCAGCAGCCGCAGTCGCCGCTGCAGCAGCAGCAGCCGCAGTCGCCGCTGCAGCAGCAGCAGCCGCAGCCGCCACCGCAGCTTCCTCTGGAGCGGCAGTTGTTCCCACCTGTGAGTGGCCTGCGGGCCCTTGGCCTTTCCTCCTCTCCTCCTGTCCGCTCCCAGTCTCCTCCTGTGTTTGTTCCTCCGTTGCCTCCTCCTGACGACCGTCCGGCGGCCTGGTCTTCTCCTCCTCCTCGGTCTCCTCCTCACTCTGTCCGTCACGACTTGATCACTCGTTGTCCTCCGCGTGCTCGTCACTCGTCCCCTGTTACTGACCTCCACACTGCCCTCTTTTGTTCGTCCAGTCGTCGTTCTTGTTCTCCTGTGTCCGTTCTCCCGTCTCCTCCTCCGTCCTCTCTCCCAGCCCTCCCCACTCCTATAACAGACTACTACCGCACTGTTCGTCCTGTTGCCGCACGTGTCCTCGCCACTCTTGTCACTGACTCTCGTTTCCCTCCGTCGTCTGCCTCGGCTCTTACTGCCGCTGTCGCTGAGTTTGCTGCCGCCAGCCGCCTTGACTACGCCACCCGGGTGGTGCCAGCTCCTCCCTACCGTCCTCTGTCCGTCGGGGGTGGGTTTGCCCTTGGCTGTGACGTCCTAGAGGACAGAGAGTCTGAGCTGGAGTACTGGGCAGCCGCTTCTCCCTCTGTGTGTGCCATGCTGCTCTCCCCTGAGGGAGACCCCGACGCCCTTGACATACCGACTCCTCGCACTTACTGCGAGGCAGTGTCAGGGGCGTGGGCCTCTTAGTGGAAAGCGGCTATGGACTCAGAGTTGGCGTCTTGGAGATCCACAGGCACCTACGTCGACGCAGTTCCCCCTCCCAGGGCGAACGTAGTCGATGGCATGTGGCTCTTCAAGGTGAAGCGGCCGCCTGGAGCACCGCCGGTGTTCAAGGCGCGCTACGTGGCTAGGGGTTTCAGTCAGCGTGAGGGAGTTGACTTCTTCCAGACCTTCGCCCCGACCCCGAAGATGACTACTCTTCGGGTGTTACTCCACATAGCAGCGCAGCGAGACTACGAGCTGCACTCCCTCGACTTCTCCACTGCGTTCCTCCAGGGCCGACTGCACGAGGAGATCTGGCTGCGCCGTCCTCCTGGCTTCACTGACACCTTCCCACCTGGGACCCAGTGGAGCCTGAGGCGACCAGTCTACGGTCTCCGCCAGTCGCCCCGTGAGTGGCACGACACTCTTCACTCCACGCTTCGTGACCTTGGGTTCAGCCCGTCCTCCGCCGACCCGTCGCTGTTTGTTCGAGCGGGTTCTACTCCTTTCTTTATCCTTGTCTACGTCGACGACTTGGTGTTTGCTACAGCAGACAGGGCAGCCCTGGCTCAGGTGAAGTCCGAACTGCAGAAGAGACACAAGTGCACTGACCTGGGTGAGCTGCAGCGCTACCTTGGCCTGCAGATCACCCGGGACAGAGCCGCTCGCACCATCACACTGACGCAGTCACACATGGTGCAGCAGGTCCTTCGGCGGTTCCACTTCCAGTTCTCCACCACACAGCCCACTCCTCTTGCTGTTGACCACAGACTCACGGGCCCCTTTCCTGACGAGCCCTTTGAGTCCAGTGGACCCTACGCAGAGCTGGTGGGCTGCCTCATGTACCTGATGACTTGTACTCGACCGGACCTCGCCTTTCCACTCAGCATCCTTTCTCGCTTTGTTGCGACTGGGAGACACCGCCCTGTCCACTGGACAGCTGCTGTGAGGGTGGCGAAGTACTTGGCGACTACATCAGGCATGGGGCTTGTGCTTGGAGGGACTCAGCCAGTGGCATTGACTGGTCACTGCGACTCTTCCTACGCTGACGACGTGGAGACTCAGCGCTCGACTCAGGGTTACTGCTTCAGTCTGGGAGCTGGTGCTGTGTCGTGGAGGTCTACACGGTCGTCGTCTGTGGCTACTTCCAGTGCAGAGGCAGAGATCTACGCTGGTGCCATGGCGGCACAGGAGCTTCGCTGGTTGACCTTCTTGCTCGCCGACCTTGGTGAGCGGCCTCGCTCTGCACCGACCTTGTACGCTGACAACAAGGCCATGATCCTCCTGTGTCGAGAGCCTCGACTGGAGAGCAGAGTGAAGCATATTGACGTGAAGTAGTTCCTTCTGCGAGAGCTGCAGCGACGCGGCCAGGCACGCCTGGACTTTGTGGCCTCAGAGGCCAACACTGCAGACGTCTTCACCAAGGCCTTGGCGCTTGGTGATCACCACAGGTTCTGTGTGCAGTTGGGGCTTGTTGAGGTAGGCCCTCGGTTGCTGTAGTCTTGTTGTTTGCTCTACTTGTTGTGCTTCCTATTTATATCCTAGTGAACTCTTGAACTGGCCTTGTGGCCACTTGCTTGCGCTCGGAATTTGTGTGGTGTCCTTGAGATCCACCCTGAGCTTGCCTTGTTTCTTGCTTTGACTGGTCTTGTGACCGTTTGTTCACCTTGCTTGCTTTGATGCCCCTCACTTAGCCTATGGGGGTGTGTCAAATGTAATTCTATGCTTGTAGGCTACAGTGAGTAGCACAATAGAGAGTACAGTTGTTAGGGTTGCATATTTGTACTTCCACACTTCCTAGTTTCATTCATTCTGTTGCATTCCTATTCTGAGACAAACATATATCTATATGTTAGAGTTATTGCGATGCTGTAATGGGGTAGATAGTGTGGGGTATAACCCCTTAGGATTTTCCTCTTGTACCAACTCTCTCGATACTCAATCCATCCTTGCCTAAGGTTTAACAATTTTCGTTTGTTTCCTGGTGCCATGATGGAGTAATTCAGCGTACTGCAGAACCAGGCAGAGTCTGTAAGCACAGTACACCATAGAAGCTCTCCCTTCATTTGGTTGAATGAAATGATGGTTTTAAGGAGCAGCAGCATCCAAACTTGGCTCACGAATGTGCACCTGCAAAGGAATTTTGTTGTTACATTCGGATGCGTAGAAATTTCTACAAGTTTATCACTGTAACCTCAGGCCTGTAACATGCGCTGCAGTGAACAAATAGCTTGGATCTTTGTAGATTTGAAAACGGCCAGTCAAAGAAGATAATCACGGACGAAATGCTTCCAGCTGGAACGATATGGTCTCGCCATGTTGAAGGGTGACGTACTAAGGTTTAAAAGGCCATCATCACAGCCATTTAGTGTCTCTGCACGTTACGTAAGCGCAAAGGAGGAATCATTATTTCGCGATAAAGTGAGTCCTCACCATGTGGACGGATGACTGGAATAAGCTTAAACCTGGCCGTGATTATATCCAGGTGGCTGCCTGCACATGTAACATGAGACAAAGTACGTGACTGACGGGACGGGTCCATTGTTATGAAGACGAAGGTAAGAACCAGTGCTGCCGATTTATTCTTCTAGCAAGATAGGTTGCCGTGCAGAGATGATTTTAAGGAGCAGCATCGAGATCTGGCTCATAAATGTGCACCTGAAAAAGGATATTGTTGTTACATTCCGATACATAGAAAAATCTACAAGTCAATCACATGTTGCACTACTCACTGTAACCTCAGGACTGTAACTTGTGGTGCAGCAAACAATAACTTGAACACGGCCACTGAAAGAAGATATTTACGGACGAAAATATTTCAGCTAAAAATGGTCTCACCATGATGACGGTTGACGTATGGTACAGTTACTATGGCCATCACCACAGCCATTTACGGTCTCTGCACGTTACGTAAGCGCGCCGTGAAGTAAGTCCTCACCATGTGGACGGATGACTGGAATAATCTTGAACATGGCCATGAATATAACCAGGTGCCTGTCTGCACATGTAAGATGAGACAACTCACATTGTCAACATGTAATGATACGTGACTGACCGAACGGGTCCATTGACTGTTTGAAGACGAGGTAAGCACCATTGCTGCCGATTTATTCCTCTAGAAAGATAGGTTGCCGTGCACAGACTTCCAGCAGCTTAACACACTTCCGATGTCATGTTCACATGGACCTGCATTTTCCACAGACGAGACATCAGTGAATAAATACCTGAATGGTCGGCGGCTGACTTACGCTACACGTACACTTGCCAGTACAGACAATATTTAAAAATATTGCACGCTCTCGTTGTCGTCGCTTGCTCCATGTCTAATACCGTGTCAAGGCTTCGTATGATTGAGAGTGCAGAGGATAACGGATTCCTCGTTGAAATCACAGCAGATCAAACTGTGAAAGACTGAATGCAGGCAATGCAGAATTGTGAAGCTCAGTTTCCAACACTCCGCAGGAGTATCGTGGGTTCGTCATGGCCGCAATACGAAAGGTAACCTTTCGCTGGCGGAGGACTCGGTGGGTCTCGACAACCATCCTGGCGTTTTGCTGCGAAATGGGGAGTGAGCTGTGGAAGTGAGACGGTTACCACATTGAAGCATGCCTGAACAAAAATACGATATACAGTAAAAATGAAATAGGATATGATTTTTTTTTAAAGTGTGTAACACTTTCTAAAAATGTGTATTTTGAAAGCGAAGCTGCTTGTAATGCAGCAATGGCAACGGCGAAGTGCTAGACGCTCTTCGCCAACTATATAGCAGGGGGTGGAGGCCATTTGGCCTCCACCCAGGGCCTCAGATTCGTTTTGGCGTAGGCTGACTGGTCAACCTTAGGAGTGTGTTCATGGCTGATCTGTCAGTAGTGTTGTTTAAAAAAAAACTGACTTTTCAGGGTGTATATAAAAAAAAAACTGAACGATCAGCGTCACTATTTGGTGAAGACTGAACCATTTCAAACAAGTTCTGCATTGATATAACAAACGTTTACAGGAAATCTAATTAAACATATCCTCATCCTCTTCATCATCATCACCCTCTTCACTATCACTAGAGCCTAAAGAGAGCGCCGCGGCCAGCGACGACCGCCGCCATGCTAGCTTCACGGGCAGACCGCGGCCCGTGAGGCACCATGGCGACGGGGGAAAGAGACAATCGGCGAGGCGAGGGGAAGGCGAGGCTGCGCGACGAGGGGAATGCGGGACGACTGGAGGCTGCAGGGAACGACGCGGAAGTTTGGCTCTGCGAGGGGAAAGGAAAGGGAGCAGAAAAGAAATATCTCTATCCTAAATCGTACTTACCTATTGGGCATACTGGTGTGTTGCTGCCGCACTGATGGGTTGCAGAGGAGAGCTGCAGAGGGATGCGGGTGGAGAAAATACGGAGAGGAATACGGGAAGCACGAGGGAGTGAAAGCGGAATCGCGGTTCCCTCTATCCCTCGCAACTCCCTCTCCCACGCAGCTAACTATCTCCCTCGCAGCTCACTCTCTCCGTCTCAGCCTGATCAAACGGAAACGAGGGAACCAAATGCGGGGGGCGATGAGGAGTAACGAGAAACAAATGTCTGTAGATTCGTACCTACTAAGATGGCGTTGCTGCTGAGCTGAGCTCACGGGCTGAAAAGGAGTGGGTATTCCCGTCAAGGAATATGCACGAACGAGAAGTGCAGCTCACGGGCTCACGGATCATCGTACAGCGACGACCAGCTGCGACGCCAGCTTCGCTGGCGAACGCGGCCCGCACGGCGCCATGGCGATGGGGGGAAAGGGAAGCGTGGCGCAGCGAGGGGAAGGTGAGGCTGCGCGATGAGGGAATGACGCTAGGCGAGAAATACACCTGTAGAGTAGAAGAAGAACCACTTCTACTCTACAGGTGTCCAGTACAAGTGCCTTGCATCTCCAAGTGGAGGGACGAGAGGGAGGGGCTGCTGCGAGCGATGCAGGCGCCGAGAGTGGGGAGATGCTCAGAGCGAGAAAAGCGAAGGTGAAGGGAGTGAAGATCCAGGTGGGTGAGAAAGAAGCGGACGGTCTGCGACCAGTGGGGGTTTCATCTACAGTTGGTACAGGAAAGAAGAATCTCTACCGTATCCTTGAGCCAAGATACCTTCGCGAGAAGACAGCAGTGGAGTGAAAGTTCGTGAATGACCATTCCCGAATGCGTTGGCAAGGAATCTTGCCATTTCGGCGTGATTGACGGAGGGACGGTCGAACCGGTGTACCTAGACATCCGGAATTCAGGGCACCTACGCTAATCTCCATTACAGGGATTTCAGCCAACCCCTTCGTTACAACTCTGATGAGACAGCGTACACGACAGGAAAAAAGCTGATATTTCAGCACATACAGATTTAAAAACCCTGAAATTTCAGCAAACACACTTAAAAAAAAGCTGCCACAACAGCCCCACTATTCTCCCACCACTGAAATCACAGCCTTTTTACCCCTAATCAGCCTTTTTTCGCTGACTTCTGAGGGCCTGCCTCCACCCACGACTTCGTTTGAAATTTCAAATGTCTTATTTCATTCTCGTCCGACGACTTCCCGTTCTCCTCAGTCGCTCACTTCTCTCTTAAAATAGTAGGCATTAACTAGATTGACATAGCACAACACACGTTTCAGAAATGTCTTGCGGGTACACCCGTCCGCACGATAGGCGCGCACGTCGAGGCTAATAAAGCGACAGCGCCACTGGCGCACGTGGCGACGAAATCGCCACAGGCGCGCGTGGCGACGAAATCGCCACAGGCGCGCGTGGCGACGAAATCGCCACAGGCGCTTGTGGCGACGAAATCGCCACAGGCGCGCGTGGCGACGAAACCGCCACAGGCGCGCGTGGCGACGAAATCGCCACACGCGCGCGTGGTGAAATCGCCAGTGGCGCACGTGGAGTCAAAATCGCCAGCGGCGCAAGTGGCGCCAGTGGCGCTCATGGCGCCGAAATGGTCAACATCGCCACTGCCGCATGTGGCTACGAAATCGCCAGTGGCGTGCAAGAACCCAGGGGCGCGTCCAGCGGAAGTCGGTACCAACAGGCATGATGGCGAAATCTCCAGAAGGCGAGATTCTAGTGGCGCGCCAGAGACAAACTGGCGGCAGATGCGCTTCTGATGTTGAAATTTGCCAACGAATAAATTATTACTTTGCATATGGTCCCACCTCTTCTTCATTCCTATCTTCGATTCTTGTTCGTCTGCGTTTTTCTCTCATGCTATTTCTTATTTTTTATCGCAGTAAATCGGTGCGAGGCAACTACCTTTGGGTCGCCATGAGAGACTACCGGCGAAGAAAGACTGCGGCAAAACATTTGGCACAACCCATGCGCTCCCGTGGGAGATTGGGACCGGGGGCCTCGCGCCAGCCGGAAACGGACCTGTGGGTCCTGTGCGGTGCTGGCCAGCGAGCTCCCCAGGGGGGAGAAGGACCGGTGGGTCCTGTGCGGTGCTGGCCAGCGAGCTCCCCAGGGGGACCGGTGGGTCCTGTGCGGTGCTGGCCAGCGAGCTCCCCAGGGGGGAGGAGGACCGGTGGGTCCTGTGCGGTGCTGGCCAGCGAGCTCACCAGGGGGGAGGAGGCCCGGTGGGTCCTGTGCGGTGCTGGCCAGCGAGCTCCCCAGGGGGGAGGAGGACCGGTGGGTCCTGTGCGGTGCTGGCCAGCGAGCTCACCAGGGGGGAGGAGGCCCGGTGGGTCCTGTGCGGTGCTGGCCAGCGAGCTCCCCAGGGGGGAGGAGGACCGGTGGGTCCTGTGTGGTGCTAGCCAGCGAGCTCCCCAGGGGGGAGGAGGACCGGTGGGTCCTGTGCGGTGCTGGCCAGCGAGCTCACCAGGGGGGAGGAGGCCCGGTGGGTCCTGTGCGGTGCTGGCCAGCGAGCTCCCCAGGGGGGAGGAGGACCGGTGGGTCCTGTGCGGTGCTGGCCAGCGAGCTCCCCAGGGGGGAGGAGGACCGGTGGGTCCTGTGCGGTGCTGGCCAGCGAGCTCCCCAGGGGGGAGGAGGGCCGGTGGGTCCTGTGCGGTGCTGGCCAGCGAGCTCCCCAGGGGGGAGGAGGACCGGTGGGTCCTGTGCGGTGCTGGCCAGCGAGCTCCCCAGGGGGGAGGAGGACCGGTGGGTCCCTTTCTGGCTCGTGAGTTTAGTTATATATTGGTCAAATACCAGGGCTAAAGCCCAAAGTGCAAGGTTTGGACGCGATCACATTTGAGTTGGCTGGTTGAACAAAATTTTGGTGAGTTTGAAATGGTGCACAACTATAGCAGATGAGTAAGAATACCAAGGGCTTAAACCTTGACAGATTTACCGTACCCGGATACAAGTTGCATGCACGCTTCGTAATGTGAGCACGGTTGTGACCGCAACAAGGGTTGGGCTCCTACAAGCATCACATCCATCATTACACAGAATACTAACGCCCGCTGCCCGTGTCCTCCCATACTGCTTGCGAGTTCGTGTCCGAAGCTCACGTGTGAGCCAACGCTTATAAGTAACCACTACTGTGCTACACTCACTTAGGGCGACACTCCAATGCAACAGCAGAGAATACTGCACCTCGATCAACATCGGTGCCAGCCTTCTTCTTCGCGCATGATTGGAACTCCACCGACATGTCGTCGCATAAACCATCAACAACCTTTACCGTCTCCGCAGCATCTCCCCGTCTCATGTCTCAGAAGACCCATTTGAAACGAAGCTCGTTGCCATTGCAAACACAAGAAAGCAAGCTTTCTAAATATGATTTTTTTTTAAAGTGTGTAACACTTTCTAAAAATGTGTATTTTGAAAGCGAAGCTGCTTGTAATGCAGCAATGGCAACGGCGAAGTGCTAGACGCTCTTCGCCAACTATATAGCAGGGGGTGGAGGCCATTTGGCCTCCACCCACGTCTTCGTTTGAAATTTCAAATGTCTTATTTCCCACCCACCCACCCTAGCAAAAATTGCATGTTGTCATGTGTAATGTAGGTACCATATATATCCCGGACGAGAATGATGTAATGCCCATTTGAAACGAAGCTCGTTGCCATTGCCATTTAAAACGAAGCTCGTTGCCATTGCAAACACAAGAAAGCAAGCTTTCTAAATTGGTTGATAATGCTTGCAGCCTATGCCACACAATTCCCCCACCCTCCTTTATTTCGTGATCGATAATGGTGTGAATGGATCTACCTGGTGTATTCCTTACTAGGATTTTACATCATCGTGGTTCACTCCGAACTCTCAAAAACGGTGTCGCCTCCGTACGTTGTGTGTGCTAAGCTGTCCCAACCCCACCCTGGCGGGAATCTGTCCCCTCTCATGCCACAGCCAGGAACACACTACGGCACAGTGAGGGCACAGCGGCATCTTTGCATTGTGTGTGTGGTGTTGTTTCGGAAAATACGGTAGCATAGCATGAAAGGAAGCCACTGAAAATCATGTGGATGGTTCAAAATTTACGCCCATGCTTGACCAGACTACCATCACATCTTTTGTTCCATATTGAGGTGTTTCAATTCAAAGAACTCTGGTCTGAGAACTAGATGGACATGCACCTAACAAGAGAGAGAATTTCATAGCAACACATTTCTATGTTTTTGCCTGCCTGCCAGCAGGGCTCTCGCTAGGTTTTGGGGCTGTCTGACAGTACCCTGAAAAAATTTTCCCCCGTCTTACGCTCGGACGACGAAATTTACATGGTCTGCATTATAAGCTGGAATAGTTTTTCTAGTCTGATAAATAAGACGAAAAAAAATATCCTGTTAAAAGTCAACCTACTGTAATCCTACCAGCAAGTCTAGTCATAGTACCTAACAACCTAGCTGCAGTAGCAAAGGACTTAGTCAGAGTCACTAGAGCCGTACACTTCATTGCTATCAGTATCATCCTCGCTAACCACTGACTCTGGGACAACGGCCCTTTCTTCCTTACTAAGCCACGGGTACTCAGCATCCATCCTTGCTGCTTCTGCTGCTAGGGCCGCTTCTCGAGCAGCCGCTTCTGCTGCTGCCAGTGCTGCTGCTGCTGCTGCAGCTGCGGCCGATCTTTTCTTCGCACGCTTGCTCGGTCTCTCCCCGGACGCCATCAGCACATCATTCGCAGGCCTGCGCTTCTTGGAAGCATTCCACCTCCTCAGTAACTCGGGCCACTCCATGTCGTAGTTAAGGAGCGAGACGGCCATCAGCTCTCCTAGCTTCGCGTCGCACAGGTTCCCGCGAAGCCAGCTTTTGATGATGTTCTGCCGTGAAAAGCCGCGCTCACACTCGACGGTACTGAGCGGAAGCACGGCGACGGCCATCCACAGGTGGACGAGGTTCGGGTAGCATGTCGCCCAGTCGGGGGAGGACAGCATGAGCTTCAGGCCGTCCGCAAACCCAACATCCTCCTGGTGTGAGGCCATGATTGTGGAAAAGGTGACGATCTCCCTCTGCGCTCTCGCCCAGTTGATGCCTGCGGTTGGGGTGCGCATGGGGACAGTGAGACAGGAGATCATAAAGGGTTGAAACATGCAGCTGAAAGAGAATTCTGAAGACTATAGCAGCACATTCCCGGCATTTGACGCACCTGGTAGAGTATCAGGGTCTTCTGGCTTCTTCTTAAACATGTTGCGCAGAGACTGGAGCCATTGGTTTAGCCTTCGCTCACGCTTTGCCTGGTTCTTGGGATACGATCCCTGCTTGAACAGCTTCGCCCCGTCGAGGTGTGAAAGATCCTTGAGGCGGTAGTCGAGCCGACCAACCAAGGTCGTGATGAACTCGCGCGCCAGCCCCAAACACGCTTGGTGGTCCACACCACTTTTCTGCCCCTTGATTTTCTCCTCGTGCAGTCGGTATCGATGGCTGACCGATGTGTCGTCGGAAGCTGTGCCAGCAACGAGGACCTCACGGAACTCCCCTGATGCGTGCTTGTCGAGGAACGGGCCCAACGCGTCTCCACCCTGGCCAAAAGTCGCGTCGTCGCAGTCGAGGTAACGTGTGCGCAGCAGTAAGGTGGTGTTGTGCACCATCGGCAGCACATGGGTTGCGTCGACCTGTAAACGGGGTTGCAGCAGCAGGATGTTATTAAAAGTATAGTAAAACAACAAACAGTAATTCGAGAAACCTGCTCACCTGGCGCCGCTGAAACTTCAAGCTGAGAAGGTTGAGCTCCTTCAGGACATCAGCAAGGAAGAACAGGAGGAAATGGAATTTGTAGCTCGTTACGACTTGATACATCTTCTTGTTTGTCTCGTGCAAGACCATCACTGCTGCAGGAAACACCTTCACCAGGCGCTGGATGGCGTCACTACGAGACAACCATCGGACGTCCTTGATGCCTTGGACTTCGAGGTGGGTCTCGCAAATGACCTCCTGAAGCTCTTGAAAGCGGGCGTGATTAACAGAAGAGCGACCAAGGTTCTCTGCTACGGCACGGACCACCTTGTCCACGATGTTGAAGTCCGGATGCGCGGCGGCAGCATCCTTGGCCGCCAAGGCCTCCCTGCAAGACAACGGAACGTAACATTAGCACGGGTATTTTTTAAAAAAAGTATGGAAAACACGAAGCAACAAACTTACCTGTGCGCGATGCAGTGGGATGACACAAGATGAGGAACCTTGACTTTGAGGCGCGCGGTGACTCCGTTGTGCTGTCCAAGCATGACAGAAGCACCATCAGTGCTCATACCGGTGAGGCGCATCAGGTCGATGCCGGTACTCTCTAGATGAGTCAAGAGAACTGTAGTGAGTGACGCGGCGTCACACTGATCCACAGTGAGCAAGGCGAAGAACTCAGTGACGGGAGCGTTGTCACGCATGAACGTCAAATAGACGATCATGTGTTTCCCCCGCCGTCGGTCGGTGCTCTCGTCCAACTGGATGCCAAGGTACGGACTATCGCGGATGTGTTTCAGCTAGCGGGACTTCAGGTAGCACACCATGGTCTTGACCAGTTGTGCGAAGCCGTACCTGAGACACGCGGGGTTAAAACTCGTTAGTATTGTAAACCCAACACAAAGCAGAAGTTTTGAACGGGACACTTACTCGCTGTAGTACGTCCCGTTCTCCTTCAGGGGCAGATCCGGAGTCCCCTGCTCTGCCATGAACTGAACCAAAGCCACGAATAGCACAATGGGAGCGTCAGACTTGCAAATGAATAACACGATAGCCATCAAGCGAGCAAGACGCTTGACATCATCGTCCCCCCGGTGGAAGTCAGCAATGGACTTCTGCACTTTCTTCACGCCGTCGCGCTCCTCCTTCCTCAAGACCGCGGCCTCATGTTTCAGACTGTGGTGATGCTTGCGCATCGTCTGCTTCTGAATGTCGATGCCACCATCGCCGTTGCGCCCGTATTTGTAGTTGGGGTCCCCGAAGACCATGCAGACGCTGCAGCGCATGCAGGGGCGGCCGGCCTTGTTTTCGGAGATGAGAAGCCAAGGAAAATACCGCTGCCACTGCTGCTTGCACTTCAACTGAAGCTCCTCAACCGACAGCTGCTTGCCTTTCGGATCTTCGAAGTCTTCATTCGCGGGTGCAAGCTCTGCGGGAGGCGGAAGAACTGACGGTGCTGGCTGAGTCGGACCGCCCGGACGTCCGACGGTGAGAACCCGCTGCTTATACCGCTTCTTTAATGATCTGTCGGGCAAGACGGGGTTAGCACTGAGAGAGGTAGTAGCGACAGATACTGCAAGAATGCTCTTATTTGCACCGTTGTCTGGCATCCGAGAAGTTACTAGCGTAGTAGGGGTAGCGGTTGATGGCACGGAATGATCGCCATTTACCGAGATTGGAGCATCGCCTTCGGGCAAAGGGACCGCAACAGAGGTCGACGCAATCGGTGGGGCAACAGAAGCGATCTGCTTGCCCCGCGTTAGGAAGTCTAACGCCGTAAGCACGGGCTCCGCATCGCATGGTCCGTCGGCAAGGACGGCCATAGTCTAAACGCTGGGAAATCAGACGCTGGGAGGGATACGGTCCATGCTCGGCTGAGTGAGAGTTGAGGACAAGCAGGAGAAACAGGCTTGTTTTCAAGCCTCACCCAGCTGCATGAAACCCCATCACCGTGCACTGCATTCAGAACCGAAAGGCGCTGCGTGTTGGGAGCGGGGGGCACTACGACCACAGTGCAATGTTGCGTGACGTCTAGGAAATGCAAATGCGCTGGCAGTGGCACAACGGGGCAACGCGTTGCCGTGGCTGTGGCTGGCGTCGGCGCCGACAGCCAGCCACACGACAAACTCCTGGCAGCATATGCCGCAGTTACATGACAGCGAGGCTGCTATAAGACACGCGTATTGAATGCGCGTGCTGTTACAGAGCAGCAAATGGCTGTACCTGTGGTCCTATCCTCTGGTCCACTAGGCATATGGCCTAGTGGGTCAAGATGTCGGTTTCAGACGAAACCGAACTCGATATCTGTATATTCAGATTAAGAATTCTACACGTCTGCAAAAATCATACGAACCTAAAACGCTTATCTTACTGATCAGATGAGAACAAACACAGATTCTTAGGAAGCAGATGAATACAAAAAATCAAGTCTTAAACTCAGACCATCAGACCAAATTGGTCTGATAACGAGAGCCCTACCTGCCAGACTGTTTCGTGCCTGACTATGTTTCTGCCTGACTATGTTTCTGCCTGACTATGTTTCTGCCTGACTATGTTTCTGCCTGACTATGTTTCTGCCTGACTATGTTTCTGCCTGACTATGTTTCTGCCTGACTATGTTTCTGCCTGACTATGTTTCTGCCTGACTATGTTTCTGCCTGACTATGTTTCTGCCTGACTATGTTTCTGCCTGACTATGTTTCTGCCTGACTATGTTTCTGCCTGACTATGTTTCTGCCTGACTATGTTTCTGCCTGACTATGTTTCTGCCTGACTATGTTTCTGCCTGACTATGTTTCTGCCTGACTATGTTTCTGCCTGACTATGTTTCTGCCTGACTATGTTTCTGCCTGACTATGTTTCTGCCTGACTATGTTTCTGCCTGACTATGTTTCTGCCTGACTATGTTTCTGCCTGACTATGTTTCTGCCTGACTATGTTTCTGCCTGACTATGTTTCTGCCTGACTATGTTTCTGCCTGACTATGTTTCTGCCTGACTATGTTTCTGCCTGACTATGTTTCTGCCTGACTATGTTTCTGCCTGACTATGTTTCTGCCTGACTATGTTTCTGCCTGACTATGTTTCTGCCTGACTATGTTTCTGCCTGACTATGTTTCTGCCTGACTATGTTTCTGCCTGACTATGTTTCTGCCTGACTATGTTTCTGCCTGACTATGTTTCTGCCTGACTATGTTTCTGCCTGACTATGTTTCTGCCTGACTATGTTTCTGCCTGACTATGTTTCTGCCTGACTATGTTTCTGCCTGACTATGTTTCTGCCTGACTATGTTTCTGCCTGACTATGTTTCTGCCTGACTATGTTTCTGCCTGACTATGTTTCTGCCTGACTATGTTTCTGCCTGACTATGTTTCTGCCTGACTATGTTTCTGCCTGACTATGTTTCTGCCTGACTATGTTTCTGCCTGACTATGTTTCTGCCTGACTATGTTTCTGCCTGACTATGTTTCTGCCTGACTATGTATGTTTCTGCCTGACGATGACGGGATCCGAATGGTGACTACACGGGCCACAAAAACCTCGTCACACCGAACACCGCATGGAGGTGAAAGCGAATGCAGGCTTGTTGTAGTGTATGCATTAAATATGGAGGTGGTCAGCAGCAGCAAGCAACAAATGTACGTACGCATGTAATCCATAACACATGATGGTGGAGAGAGAGAGAGAGAGAGAGAGAGAGAGAGAGAGAGAGAGAGAGAGAGAGAGAGAGAGAGAGAGAGAGAGAGAGAGAGAGAGAGAGAGAGTAGAAGGGTGCTGCTAAAGCTAGAATCGTGTTTCGATCAGTAGGTACTTGCTCAGTTATGGTATGAAGACCAGAACGACCTGAGCAATTCCATGTGCTGACGCTGCTGCAGCAGCACAGCTGAGTGAGCACTTGCTCAGTTGTGATGTGAAGACCAGAACGACCAGAACAACTAATTTCATTTGCTGTTGCTAGTGCAGCGACACTGCTCAATGGCTGTGCAGATTAGCAGCGGCAGCAGCAGCATGAGCACTATGAGCAGCGGTGGCAGCAGCAGCAGTGGCAGCACGGTCAATGGCAGCAACCATAAGGTCCCAGAATCCATCCACGTGCATGCTGCGAGCCACATGTGCGTTGGCTGGCCGCTTGCTTTGCCTCCACACGTCACACACCGTCTGCCCTGCTGAGAGCTGGAGGGAGGTGGGATGGACATGGTTTGAGGGGGAAAGAGAGGGAGGAAGGCCATGAGTGGGGAGAGTGGAGTGCAGCAGAAGCCATCCACGTCACACACTGTTTGCCATGCTGACAGCTGGGGGGGTTTGGGGACGGACTTGGTGGGAGTGGATAGGGAGAGGGGGAGGGCGAGAGTGGGGAGAGGGCAGAGCAGCTGTGCTATCGGAAAGGGGGAGGGAAGAGTGGGGAGAATGCAGTGCAGCTGTGAAATCACACGTCACACACTGTCTCTGGCCTGCTGACAACTGATGTGATGTGCAGATGTGCTTTTCTTTGCATGTTGAGGCGATCAGGAAGGTCACAAAAGCAAGGGGCTTGGAACGGTGAAATGGGGCGAGAAGCAGTGAGGAGCGGTGAGGAGCGGTGAGGAGCGGTGAAGAGTAGTAAGGAGTGGCTCACCTCACTCTTGGTCTCAATGTCGACTCGGAGGTGCTCCGTCTGCAGACAGGGAGGTGGCAGAGCGATGGGGGGTGTGTGAATGGGTGAGTGATGAGCGCAGGGGAGTGAGGAGCACAGGGGGAGTGATATGGAACATGTGCGAACACGGAACACTGAGACATGTGCGGTCAGTTGGTGTGGAGGGAGGGAATGCAGGTAAGACACTGGATTATGGGGCTTTATCTTGAAGAGAGACAAGGCGATTACGAAGGCGAGAGCACAGGGTCGTGCAGGAGGGAGTGGTGGAGACATGGCGGAAACATGGTGGAGAGATGGTGGAAACCTGAGTGGAGGCTGGTAGGACCGTACCTTGAAGAGAGACGGGGCAATGACGAAGGCGAGAGCGCAGGGGTCATGTAGGGGTGGGTGCTGGAAACCAAACACTTCAAGGTATGTGCGGGCGAAGAAATGCATCAACGCAGAGACTGCGATGTGGGAAAGGGGTTGGAGGGAGAGAATGGGAGAGGGTAGGCAGAGGGGAGAGGAGTGTAGAGGTGGAAGGTGTTGAAAGCCAAACACATGGAGGGGTACGTATGAGGGAACAAGTGCATCAAGGCACGGACTGCAAGATTCGTTCCGAAAGCAAGTCCCAACAGCAGAACGCAAAGCTTTTTGTTCACTCGGCAATCGATGGGCGTATAGTCGCGCCAAGCCACGTGTCACTCACCTGTTTGTCGGAGTTTTCTCCCCCTATCGCATTCAAGGCACCCGCCAGCACTGGCAGCATGGCGTGTGAGTTGGATGGCAGAATCACCGGCGGCTGTAGCAGCATATGTTTAGTCCACTCAAAGCTCACCTGTTTGCCGGAGTTTTTTCCCCCGATAGCAGCCCAGGCAGCTGCCAGCACTGGCATTGGGAGCTGTGAGGCTGGCGTCAGCAGTTGTAGCGGCTACAGCCGTAGCAGAACCATCAGTGCTTTGGGTGGCATCAGCAGCAAAGTTATATATGGTTGCTAAAGAAGGAGGGGGAGCGGCATGAGTGGAGGAGGGGGCGCAGATGGGGCAGTGAGGAGGACAAGAGGAGATGCGAGCAGCAACTGACGGGTAGAGCAGGGCGGTGTGCGTGACCTGAAGGGGGAGGTAAAGGCAGGGGCAGAGGTCCCAATTAAAAGAGGCGAGGGGACATGAGCATCGGCCGTGTGAGTGACGCGAGGGGTAAGGCAGAGGGTGGTGAGATGGAGGGAAGGGAGATGGAAGCAGGCTGAAGTGGAGCAGTGCGAGAGGGCAGATCATGATAGTTAAAATGGCATGTTGACAGGGAGGGGACATAAGGAGGAAGAATTCACCTCCAGTGGTACCATGGTAAGTGGGCAACCGCTGTTGAACACACTGGAGGCTGCTCCTTTGGATATAGATGTGGGTGTGTATGGGTATTGGGACTGCACCGTTCATGTGGTTCTGCGTATCTCCAGAGGCATCATGATGAGCGGGCAGCCATTTTTGAACACATTCTGGGTGTCCCTTTGTACCCTGGTATGCGTATCAAGACGGGTGTGACTGAGTGTGGGAATGAGGACAGTGCTGTGAGTGCGGTTCTGCATACCTCTAGGGGTACCATTGTGAGCGGGCAGCCGCTGTTGAACACAATGGAGGCTGCCTCTGGATCACACTGGAAGGGGAGAGGCGAGGAGGGGAGGGTGGGAGGGGAGGAAAGGAGCGGAGGAGAGGAAGGGAGGAGGGGAGGGGAGGAGGGGAAAGGCAAATGAAGAAGGTGGGGAAATCGAAGTGTGACGAGAGCGATTGAAACCGGTAGAAGAGGAAAGAGAGGTGACGAGAAGGAGAAGGGATAGGAGGGAAGTGGAGGGCAGAGAGAGGGTAGGGCCGCAGTGGATTGCATTTTGATATTGGGGAAGCAATATGAATCCCACCACCCCCCTTTCCTCCCCCCCCCTCCCCCCTACATTCCACCCCCCCTGCATCGCACCTGGATGTTGAACTCGGCTACTGGGCCTGCCAGGAACGCATGGCAAGAGGGAGACACGATTTGAAGTCCATCAGTGCGCATGATACCAGCACCACCTCCTCTCCACCCCAGCAGTACCATCCCCACTGCATCCCACCCCACCCCACCCCACTCCACCGCACCTGGATGTTGAACTCCGCTACTGGGCCTGCCAGGAATGTGATGTGGGTGAGAAGAAGATGAGGATATGCGGATGCAAGAACAGGAGAGAGGAAAATGCGGGAACAAGAGAGAGGCAGTAGTCTGGTTTGAGGCATCTCTGAAAGCAAAAGTGATGCCTCTGATTCGAAAACAAGGAATGCAATGAGAGGTGAATGGAGCCAATCAGAGTAACTAAACAGAGTATGTGGGTGAAAGATAAAGGTGTAAGGAGATGCACGGAGATGCGAAGAGGTGCAAGGCGCCCGGTGCAAGGAGGTGCAAGGAGGTGCAAAGTGGTGCAAGGAGGCCTAGGCACCCTAAACTAAACCACTGGAGTCGTACCAGTGTTGCCGAGACCAAGAGCTCCTCCTGTGGGGCGATGAGGGTGAGGAGTGAAGGGCGAGAAGAGAGAAGAGGGGGATGGGATGGGAGAGTTGTAAGGGGAAGGAGGTAGCGAGGAAGTAAAGAGGAGGAGAGAGACATGGAAACAGGGAGAAGAGAATGGGGCAGGAGGAATAAGGCAGATCAGGGGAGGAAGAGTCATGAAGGCGAAGAGTACAAGGGGAAACAAACAGTGCGGTGACAAGTGGTTGCAGTGGGTGGCACGCACCCATTAGGACAATCTTGGTGAGTTGTTCGTGTTGGCGTGTGACGGGAGATGTGAGAAGGACGTGAAGATGTTCGCATGGGGCGGGAGGGGGTAGGGGAGAGGGGAGAGGGAGGAAAAAGGGGGGCAGAGAGGCGAGAGGAATATAAATGGAAGAGGGAGGAAATCAAAGGAAGGAAGCATGCATTTAGGAACAACCGAACTTGGTTTTGAGTCGACTCAAAAAGAGGTAGGAAGGAAGCATGCATTTAGGAACAACCGAACTTGGTTTTGAGTCGACTCAAAAAGAGGTAGGAAGGAAGCATGCATTTAGGAACAACCGAACTTGGTCCTCACATCTGCAATGAGGCCCGCTTGGCATGACCACAGCCTCTCAACCCCTCTCAACCCCTCGGCCGGAATCCCCTGACCCGGGAAAGCAGTGTGCACAGCAGAGCCATCCTCTCCCTCGTCCCCTGCCACTATCCGGCACATCCATGGCAGCTAATCCACCTACACACTGTGCACTCACCACCTCACACCACCCACTCACCTCGATCATGCGCTTGACCTGGGGGTGCACTGTGAGCAGCAGAGGTTGAGAGCCTTCCGCAACTGCTGACCCAACCAGACACCCCGCATCAGGCGCTCACCACTCACCACACAACACCCACTCACCGCAACACACCACTCAGAATGCCCACTCACCTCGATCATGCTCTTGACCAGGGGGTGCACGGTGAGCAGCAGAGCAGCGTTGGTGAGACTGCCTGTGCACACCAACGCCACCCTCTCCCTCCGCCCCTCCCAGATTTCCTTCTTCTCCCCTCCCACAACTGCAGCGGTGGTACCAACAGCAGTGCCAACAGCAGTGCCAACAGCAGCAGCAGCGACAGCATGCGCTGTGTCAGCAGCTGGGGGACCACCGTTTACCACCGCTGCCCCGTCTGCCACTGCCCGGTCTGTGATTGCGCCATCTGCCATTGCCCCATTCACCCCTATCACATGATCATTTTCCCCCTCCCTTCTCCTCTTGGCTAAAGGCCCATCCTCAGCTGCCCCTGCCTTCGTTGCCCCTCGCTTGCTGTTCGAGTCACTTGGCTCTGTCCCCTGTTTCCACTCTCTCAACGCTGCCTGCCTCTCTAGAAACGCTCGTCGAATGTGGCGATACATGTGAGTCACTGTCGGCACATCTTCCTCCTCCCCCACCCCTTCTCCCCTCGCATCCCCATCTTCGTCCCCTTCTTTGCGCCCCTCCACCCCACCCCCACCCGTTTCCCTCTTGATTTCTGCTACTTCCTCTGCCTCCTCTTCTGCCGTCCCCCATAGTGGGGTTTCCTCCCTCTCGCCTTTCTCCTCTCCGTCCTCCTTCGTCCCTGCTCCTCCTCCCTTTCCCTTCCCCCGTTCCCCCTCCCCCTGCGCCTCCCCCTCCCCCCAGTCAGGCCCATCTAGCCCCGACTCCCCGTGGATCTCAGCGCAGTGCTGCCTGGCGCGCATGAAGGGGGATGCTTGCCCGCAGAACACAGCTGGTGGTGAAGAGGCAGGGAGCAAGGAGGCAAGCAGCATGAGAGGAGCAAGGAGGCATGTGAGTTGCTGTCTCTCCCCAGTCTGGCCCATCCAGCCCCGACTCCCTCAGCGCAGTGCTGCCTGGCACGCATTAAAGGAGAGGCCTGCCCGCAGAACACAGCTGGTGGTGAAGAAGCAGGGAGCAAGGAGGCAAGCAGCATGAGAGGCGCCCCTAGAGAGAGGCGCCCCTACAGAGAGGCGCCCCTAGAGAGAGGCGCCCCTAGAGAGAGGCGCCCCAGCCGCCCGACAGGTGCCCGACAGGCGCCCGACAGCCGCCCTGCAGCCGCCCAGATCGGAACCAGCCCCAACAGCACTCACGAATGTCGGGTCGCGCGCACATCAGCAGCACTCGCCTCGCATTGATTGTCACTTTCTGCACCTGGCACGATTGGGGGTTGCAGGGTGGGCGGCAGAATGTGGGATTGGGGTGAGGTTTTGCATTGGGACTTGGCGCAATGTTGCGGGACGGATTGAAGAGGACAGAGCAGGGGAGTTAAAGCCAGAAGAAGCGCAGACGGGTCTCTTTGACAAATGGCACTCACTGATTGGTTGCCGTGAACAGTGCTGATGCCAAGCAGGTGCAGCGAGGGGGTGTGGGCGGCAAGAATGATAGCCATGGCGTCATCGTGGCCTGCAATGAGTCATAATGACGTCAGCATTGCATGCAATGAGTCAGCAGAACGCTATCTCCGCAGAAAGACACGTGTCGCACGGACACCACAATGAGCTCGTAACCACGGCGCGGCATGATAGCGGATGCGGATGCGCTGCGGACAGCAAAGAGAATGCGGTCGACGGAGGGGGGGGAGGGCGGGGAGGGGGGGAAGAGGGGAGAAAGCGAATGCGCCGCGGACAGCAAAGAGAATGCTGCAAGAATGAGGTCGACGGACCATCCCTCGCACCTGGATCACAGTCTAACCACACCGGTCGCGGCGGGTCCATGGCTGCGAGACTGGCTGCGGACGGCCACTGCCACGGGGACTGAAGGCTGTTCCTGAAAATATTAACCAATCCCCATATTAACCAATCCCCCTCCCCACCCGCCCCCCCTCGCACCTGGATCACAGTCTAACCACACTGGGCGCGGCGGGTCCATGGCTGCAAGAATGTCGCGCGACTGCTGCTATGATTGCGCGGTCGAGCGCGCAGCAAATGCTGGTGGCGATGAAGGCAATGGCATGCGGGAGGCAAAAAGGAAAAAGAGAGAAAGAGGGGGAAAGGGGGAAAGGGGGAAAGGGGGAAAGGGGGAAAGGGGGAAAGGGGGAAAGGGGGAAAGGGGGAAAGGGGGAAAGGGGGAAAGGGGGAAAGGGGGAAAGGGGGAAAGGGGGAAAGGGGGAAAGGGGGAAAGGGGGAAAGGGAAAAAGGGAAAAAGGGAAAAAGGGAAAAAGGGAAAAGATGGATTGGAGGTGAGGGGTATCGATCCCCTTACCTATCGCATGCGAAGCGATCGCTCTACCATGTGAGCTACACCCCCATGTTATTAAAGCCAAGTTAATAATATCAGAAACTATCTTTCAATTCCTTACTTCCTCACCTTTCGCTTCCGTCCATCCCTATGCGGTGCGGCAGTTGGGGGGATCCGACGACGGGTGGATGCCCGCACCAGTCCCACTGAGTGCGGGGCAGGGTACTTGGCACCACGTCACAGGGTGCTTCGAGAGTGTGGCTGACATGCAATATATATATGATGCATATGTGTAAAAAGCAATAGTGGCTGTGCTTGAAACGCTGTGCCTGCGCTGTTGAGCAGGTTGCTGCTGTGTTTGATCCCTTGGTGCTTCCTCCTCAGTCTCTCTCCCTATCTCCTCTTCTCTTCCCACCTCCCTTTTCCTTTCCCCTTCTTCTATCCTTCTCTTCTCTTCCTTCCCCTCTCTTCTTTTCCCTACTACCTCTTCTTACTCCTTGATCTTTTCTTTTTCTTCTTTCTTTCCCCTCTTTCCTACAAAATATATATACCGTCCTCATAGCGAATGAGTCATGCCGAAATTGCCTATTCTTGGAAAACCCACCATATTCGGCTTGTATTTGCTCTTCCCCTATTAATAAATAACTACCTATCCCCTTCCACAGTACACACCTTTGATCCCACGTCTCTCCTCCCACCCTTAACCCACCCCCTCTCTACCCATATCTCGTGTCCCTCACCTACCCTGTTCAGCCCTTTTCTCCCATATGTCACACGCCTGCTGTCTTTCTACTCTCCAACTCCTCTCCCATCTCCCATTGCCCATCTCCAAACTCCTGCCTCCTTTCTCAATGTCTCAACTTTCACAATCTGTCAGCTGTTCAATGGTCAATAGCATAGGAGTTTGATGCTGCACCAAGTAGGCCCAACACAAATTGTCATTTACCTGTACCAGTGGCTTCAGGGCGGGTGCTACCATGCTACCCTATCTATCCTGAAGTGCTACCGCAGCTACCCTGAGCAGGGCTCTTGCTAACTATTTGGGCGGTCTGATGAAAAAGTAATTTTTTTTTTTTAGTCTGACCATCATATGAGGGATTCTGGGTGATCTGATTTTCAGATGAAATATTTAAGGCCGTCTGTGAAAACGTATGAATAAAGTTTAACGTGCAATTTGAACGCGGATTCCGGCGGTAGTGGGATCGACTCTTGCGAGGGGGTTCTCGAGCTTCTTTGTTTTCCCTTGGGTTATCAGACAGATGTATCCTCGCTGTCTGGAAACTCATACGAAATATAATCTGTGTTCTGAAAAAACATGTGTATAAACAGCTTATCTGGGCTCTCATATGAGCCGCATTTTTTTGTCTGCGAGAACATATGAACAACAAAAAATGCGACTGAAATCTAGACCAACAGACTAAATTAGTCTGATAACGAGAGCCCTGACCCTGAGGCCAGTCTGTTGGGAATGTGAACTTCCAGTTAACAGCTCAGCTACGTGTGTGCTATTGATGGACCTAAGCCTATGGCACAGCCTCAATGCATACAGAGTACCGGTATGCCACAGAACACAGCAGCATATGTGAAACAGAAGAAAACATCGATTCAGAGCAGTACAGTACAGTGCAGCATTTCAAGTTCATAACTCTGAACAGAGTCAGGTACTATGTGGGGATAGGCAGGGGGCAGGCAGGCAGTATGTGGTGCAGGCGAATGTGATGCGAGGGCCAGGCAGGGTGGTCTGCTGTAACAACGTTACTCTCTTGAGGTGCTGGGAGCGGCAGCTCTTGCGGTTGTGATGGGGAGGCAGAGGGGGACGGCTGAGAGGGTAGGGGGAGGGGAAGCCAGGCGACAGTGAGAGTGGAGGGCGCGAGGTGGGGCGGGAAGGAGAGGAGGAGGTGGGTGGGTAGGCTGGCTGCAGGAAGGGAGAGTGACCGCATTCCATGGAACTGGTATTAGGGGAGGGGGAATGTGGGGAAGAGAGGAGGAGGAAAATGGCAGGAAAGGGTGAGCGGAGAGCGGTGAGAGGGCGAGAGTGGGGATGTTGATGTAAGGAGTGCAGCATATTCAAGTGGAGTGAAATTGAGAAGGATGGAAGTGCAGCACACCCTTGGCCGTCCACTTGGCACACACCATGCAATTCCTACCTGGCACACAGCATGCACAGTGCACTACCCACCTGGCACATGAGGCAGTCTAAGAAAGGCGTAATTTGCAGCAAAAATCAGCACCTGGCACATGCCATGCCATGCTCCACCCACCATAGGCATCAACAGCACGTGCCAGCCACCCACCTGGCACATGCCGTGCAGCAACAGTCTGAGGAAGGCATCGTCTGCAGCAAACACCAGCACCTGCCTTCCCTCCCCTCCCCTCCCCATGCCGTCCGCCTCCCCGTCTGCTGCACCTGCACCGCCGCTCACGCCCCCCTTCAGCTTCCCTCCATGTGCCTCCAAAGCACTCTCCACGTCGCTCCATGCTGCCTGCACACACCACTCCGGCAACACACTCCCAATCGTGTTTCCACTCCCACTCTCACCCCCCTCCTGCGACCCCTCTCCACCCTCCTCCTGTGCCTCCTCCATCTGTTGCTGTTGCCCCTCTGCTCCATCACCCCCAGCAACGCCTGCTGCACACGACACAATGCTGCTCTCGTCCCCCCTGCCATCCTCACTGCTCAGCTCTCCCCTGCCACTGCAAGATGCGTCCACTTGGCTGCTCGTCGCGCCAGTGGTGGCAGCAGTGGCAGCAGGTGGCGGGTGCAGGAATGCCACCAGAAGAGCCTGAGGGAGCGGGAGGGACCAGTGGGTGGGGTCAGCAAGAGGGATCAGATGACCAGTCGCACAACACACACATGGGCCTAGATACAATCACACATCACACACTAACTGCCCGACCTCACCTCAACAGTCCCCACCACCACCCAGCCTGCAGCGCGCCGCATGGCCCCTCTCGCTGCCTCCGGCACCCGCCTCCACGCTGCCTGCGATGCCGCCACCACCGCTGCTGCTCCCCCTCCTGCTGCTGCTGCTGAATGCTGGTTGCCGCTGCTGGCCTGCTCCCGAGACTGCTTGCTCCTGGCCTTGCGGGATGGCAGCTGTGTGCGCAGGTGGGGGGTGTGAGGCGAGTGACCACAAGGAGGAAATTAGCTAGCTCGTCTCGCCCATCCACAGACCATTGGATAAAAGGCAAAATTCCGTGTGGCAAAAGGAGGTCCTCTATCTAAAAGTCGTGCTGCACGCACCTTGTTGAAAGTAGCCCCTGCAAGGTATTGCTGGCACACAAAGGCTTCAAAGGGCGTGGAGAGCGCCACATCTGACAGCCTCTCCAACACTGGCCGCTCTGTCTTCTCTCCTGCAAGGGAGACATGATGCGAGAAGGAATAGGAGAAAGGGGTTAGACAGTACTACGAACACAGCTACCCAGGAGCGCCTCAAAGGGCGTGGAGAGTGCCACGTCTGACAGCCTCTCCAACACTGGCCTCTCTGTCTTCTCACCTGCGAGGGAGGTGGTAGGAGGAACAGGGGTGATGTAAGGAAGAGAGATAAGTGCAAGAGATGTGGGACTGATACGAGAGAGAGTTGTGATCGGAAGAGGCGAAGAGGAGATGTGCGGAGCGGGAGAGAACGGGTGGTGTTGGGTTTGCTCTAACACGCCTTGCTTGCAACCTACCCCAGGGCGGCGGCGCATAGAGCGAGGTGACGTCCGGGCCAGTAAGAGGCCCCGCCATGTCCTTTAGCAGGCGCTCGCTACGGCAGCTACGACAACCTACCCAAGGGCGGCAACACTCAGAGGGAGGGGACGTTGTGCGTACCCCAGGGTGGCGGCGCATAGAGCGAGGTGACGTCTGGCCCAGTAAGAGGCCCCGCCATGTCCTTTAGCAGGCGCTCGTTCACCCACCGCCTCGCCTTGCGCTGATGCAAGCAGCATGGCCAAAAAGGAAGGTCAGGATGGGGGAGGAAGGTTTAGAGAGGGGGAGGTGGGGAGGGGGGACGATGTCAGTATGAGTGCGGACGGAAAGTGGAAAGGGAGGATTGGGCAGGGAAGAGTGAAAAAAGAGGGAATCTGAGAGGGACAGGAGCAACGAAGCTGCAGTGGAACACAGGCTGACCAGAAGATGGCCTTGTGTAAGAAGGAGAAAAACAACGGTCCCTAATAAGCTGATTACCTGGCTGGCGGCTGCGACGTACCCTGCCTGACAGCGGCAGAGCGTCTGGTGGTAACATGAGGGACAAGGCGATCATGGCTGCAGTGGGGACTTTTGAGGCGCCTAACAAATTTGTCGTACCTTGCCTGAGAGCGGCAGAGCGTCTGGTGGTAGCATGAGCGACGAGGCGATCACGGCTGCAGCGGGGTGGGGGGAACAAGAGAGGAACGTGAAATGGCAGAATTTAAGACGAGGGTAAGTGAGAGGTGGGCAAAGACTGCTGTTGCAGCTCAAGAGGGTTGCGAGAATGTGACACGTGGTGACCAGGTGCGACCAGTACTGCTTTAACCGGCCAAATGGGAGCAAGCAACAACGCCACGGCTATCCGCACCAGTTATGCGACTAGAAGACGTGGACAAACCATGCCACACATCACACCGTGGGAATGCGCCTGCGCGTTGCGCGGATCGTGCTCTTCCCCCTTGGTGCTGCGCGCCTTGCCCTTTCTCCGCCTCCCCTGCGCATCGTCCTCGTTGTTCACTGAGCCCAGTGGTGGGAGGGGCCGAACAGGAACGAAATAACAGGGAACCTTGGCGAGCCGGAAATGGTTACAATCTGAGTCGAACATAACAGCTAAGGCGAGGCGAAACGTGTAAGCTTCAAAGGGTACTTTCAAAAAGAACTCTGACATTTAAGTGTCTACCGATGTCTGCTGAGACAAGGGAGTCGATCACTTCCACGTACCGTATCGCGATTGAATTAGCCAGTTGTGGAACGACATCTGGCCATGACTGATGGATCCGAAGGTTACTGAATCGGCCATTGTGAGTAGGAACGACACACGCGCGAGCCAACAAGGAACGCTCCGGATGTTCGTCACTGCCAATGGAGAATACTAAAGTGACTTCTGTGTCACTTAACTGGCCAAACGAATTCCCAAGCTACGCTGTACGAGGTCACAATCGCACAAGCTATTTCTATGCTCTCTATTTCCGAAGCTGAAAATGAAAGCGCAGTGAGTCAGAGCGCGGAGGTATCTAGGGAATACCCGTTTGATCCTTGCTGGCGTCGCTCTGCGTGAGCTGCACTCAACAAAGAGGGGAAAGGGTTCCAAGGAAATCATACCCGTTATTGACAGCTGGCGTAACAAAAAAACAGTTTCATACACCAGGCGGCATCGCCAAGCGTGAATTTCCATAAACTCTGTCCCACTCGGGGGAGAGGGGGGAACTTGCGCGTACGCTGGCATTGGTTGGCCTTGGAGGATGAGGAACCAGCATGAGGGGAATCGAGCTGCCAGTCGCACACACTCTCACACAGGCCCCTCCAACCATTCAAATCACGCCGCGTGGCTTTCGATGTATCCTATCTCTTCGCCTGTCCCAAGAGAAAACAGCGTATGCCTGCGATGATTGCCATTACGCAATTTCTTGCCCACCCCCCCCCCCCCCCTTCAACTCCACTATCACTCACTGTCACTGGTCTTTTTGCTGCCGCGACACAATCAAAACACAGTTCACGGAAATAATTTGGCCAATTTGCTAGTTTTGTTTCCATCCCTCTCTTGTGCCGCTCTGTGAGGGTTCCGACGGAGCCGTCAGTCGCCATTTTCAGCCGACTGCGGCTCCAAGCTGTGCATTGCGTTCTTATCACCCCGCCCGCCATGGCCGCAGTGCAGGTCGTCGCGACTGTCGCAATCTCCGATCCCCGGGTCGCGATATCGTCGCCCATTGTGCAACCGCGTCGGATGTCCCGTTCACTCGCAGCTTTCAATCCTTCCTTAAGACTCCTCTCCTCGAATTTGTCGCATGCACACCGTCCCTCGCGACGCGACCGCACCTCACGCCAGCATGCCGTCGTCGCTAGCCGTTCCGTGCCGTTGCGCGCCGAGCCTCGCGCCGGCCACCCAACAGTCCAATCATCGTCTTCCCCCAACGCGCAGAAATCCGTGCGCGCGTCGGCAGTTGCGGCGCCGAAAGAAGGAGTGCAGTCGTCGACCTCCGCCGCGGCAGATGCGCGATCGGCGGCGGTTGGCGGAAGTGGCGCGGGGCGAGCAGCGGAAGCGGAAACGTCGGCGGTGGTGCTGCTGGACGTGCGCGAGATGATGTGCGGGGGATGCGCCGCCGCCGTGCGCCAAGTGCTGTCGGAGCATCCGCGCGTGATTAGCGCGGGCGTCAATCTCGTCACCGAATCCGCCGCTGTTACCGTCTCCCTCCGCGCGCCTGAGGCTTCCGCTTCCCCTTCCGCCTCCGCTTCCGCCGCTCCTTCCGCCACCGCTTCTTTTCCCCCCGCTATTGCGAAGGCGGGCGACGAGGCGGCGGAGCTTGAGGCGCTGCGCGCGGAGCTGGCGGAGCTGGTGGAAGACGCGGGGTTCCCCTGCTCCGTGCGGCGCGCGGGGGAGGCGGACGAAGAAGGTAGGGACGGACGAAGTAGGTAGAGTGGGGAGGGGGGCGATGTTGAGGGGAGCGATGTGGAGGGGAGCAGAGGAGAGGGATGGAGACGGTATCGGGGTGGGGGGTATGACAGACAGAGACAGGACTTCAGCATTATCCCCCCACTTGGCGCTTCGCTTCCCATCATTCCTCTAGCGTCTCCCTCTCTCCCTTCGCTTGTCCACCTCCCTCGTCCCTTCTCCATCGTCTCCCATCGCTCTCTCCCCCCCAACCCCCCGCCACATCCCCCACCAGCGGAGGCACGGCGCAGGGAGGCGGCGGAGCGGAGGCAGCGCGCAGTGGCGCGTGCGCGCGTGGACGTGCACCCGCATTCCACGCTTCTCCTCCATCCGCCCCCTCGTGTTTAGGCACCCCCTCCCCCACACACCCCGCCACATCCCCCACCAGCGGAGGCACGGCGCAGGGAGGCGGCGGAGCGGAGGCAGCGCGCAGTGGCGCGCGCGCGCGTGGACGTGGCGGTGGCGGGCGTGCTGGCGGCGCTGTGCTGCGCACACCACGTGGGACACCTTTTTCATGGCATGGGGCTGCATGCCCTTGCACACGGTAAGTAGGGCACACACAGGCTGCTCCATACATATACACAGGTGCACGGTCAGCTCATTAGTCACCTGCGCGCTGGCGGCGCTGTGCTGCGCGCACCACGTGGGACACCTTTTCCACGGCATGGGGCTGCACGCGCTTGCACACGGTACATACTTCTACATTCATACACCTCCTGTCTGTTCCCATATCTTTCCTTTTCTTTCGCTTTTATTTCGTTGTTGTCTCTGCACTCAAAGATCTTGCGTTCCTCCCCTGCCTGCCTCCTTCCGTGTCTGCATGCCTCCCTCATCCGCCCTGCCTGTCCACCAGGCCCATGGATGGCGGTGCTGGACGACGTGAGAGCACGCTCCGCCATCGCTGCCGTCGCTCTGCTGTTGAGGCGCCTCAACATAGCACTCCTTATATGCACATCCCTCTACCTATGTGTCTGCCCCATCTCTCCCCTGCCAGGCCCATGGATGGCAGTGCTTGACAACATGAGAGCACGGTCGGCCATCGCTGCCGTGACGCTGCTGCTGTTGAGGCACATTCCTCAAGCCCGCATTCCCCTGTCTGCATGCCTCCGTTCTCCCCCACTGCCACTCGTCTGTTCCCCCTCTTCCACGCCAGGCCCATGGATGGCGGTGCTGGACGATGTGAGGGCACGCTCCGCCATTGCTGCCGTCGCTCTGCTGGGGCCCGCCAGAGGTACTGTGTGTGTGTGGCATGCTGGGTGCTTGATTTGCCCTGTAGGCTGTAGGCTGTAGGCTGTAGGTACTATGGCAGTGGTTGGTAGTAGATGTATGTATAGTGGCATCACTGGCATGGTGGCATGGTGGCATGAAGGACGACTGCATGAGCTGCTGCTGTTGCAGGGCTGCGTGCGTCCCGTGCCTGTGCTACTGCTCTTCCCCTCCGCAGAAACCAAACATGGGGCGGCCTCTTCTTCCCCTCCCCATCAACTCCTGCATCGCCCACTCGTTTTCGCATCCATTTCGGTTTGGTCTCCCTTCTCATGTCCCGTGCCGTGCCACTACCCCCTCTCCTGTGGCCCTTCACCCCCACACCCCCCTTCCCCACAACCCCTCTCCCCAGACCTGCTGCTGGACGGCATGAAGGCGCTGCTTGTTGATGCTCCTTAACTATTCCCCCTCCTCCCGCCCTTCCCCCACACCCCCCTTCCCCACAATCCCTCTCCCCAGACCTGCTTGTGGACGGCATGAAAGCGCTGCTGCGTCGGTCACCCAACATGAACTCCCTCGTGGGGCTCGCCTCCCTCGCTGCCTTCTTCATTGGCGTGGTAGGTGCCCCCCTCCTCTACTGCCCTCCCTTACTCCATCCGCCTTCCTCCTCTTCCCCCCCCTCTCCCGCGTGAGCCTCACCTCCCTCGCTGCCTTGTGCATTGGTGTGGTCAGTGTCCGATCCTCCACTGCCCTCCCCCAGAGCCCTTTCTGCACGCCAATCCATCCTCGCCCACAAGCCTCTTCCCACACTGTCTTCTTCTTCTCCTTCCACTTTGTTGTCTCCCCCTTCCATCCGTCTCCCACAGTGCAGGTGGGTGGCACAGCTGCACCCTGCCCGACCTCGGCCTAGGTTTCCAGCCCCACTTCCTCCCATCTTCTTCTTCTTCCGCCTCCATTCTTCCCACCTTGCATCCATCCCCCCCCACCTGTGCAGGCGGCACAGCTGTACCCGGACCTGGGCCTCGACTCCTCCTTCACTGATGAGCCTGTGAGTGGCCATGGCACGTGCACAGGCGTACGTTGCGCGGGAATGGGGCATGTAGCATGCGGGAAACTGAGCTGAGCATGCGTATTCATACATGTGCACACACCACACGCCATGGGGCACGGGGCATGGGGCATGGAGCACGGGGCATGGGGCACGGGGCATGGGGCACGTAGCATGTTGCATGCATAAGCATGCAATCCCCAACTTAATTTTCTCTCGCTCCCCTCAATGCCTCCCCCCCACATGCCAGGTGATGCTGCTGGCGGTGGTGCTGCTGGGTCGGTCCCTAGAGGCCTCTGCCAGGGCGCAAGCCTCCTCCGACCTCAATGCCCTCATGGTGACACCTCTCTCGTTGCCTTGATCTTTGTTTCCCATTGTTAATAGTTTTGAGCATCTCACACGACCTTTTACCACTCTCACCCCCCTCACCCCTCTCACCCTTCTGAACCCCCTCACCTCTCTCCGCATCCCCATCCCCATCCCCATGCACAGTCGCTACTGCCCTCCACGGCTCGACTGCTAGTGCAAGACGACAGTACTGGGGGCAGTGAGCAGGGGGGAGGGGGGGAAGCAGGCGGGAGCACAAATGGACTGCTGGCCTCTCTGAGTGCCTCTGGAGTGGGGAGTGGGGGTTTGAGTGAGGGGGCAGGAGGGGGGGTGGAGAGTGGGAGTGAGGAGGAGGGAGGGGAGGGGCTGGCGCTGAGCATGGCGGCGTGGGTGCAGGTGCCGGCCAATCACGTGCGCCCGGGAGATCGGGTGCTGGTGCTGCCTGGTGACGTCATCCCTGTGGACGTGAGTGGCTGCGTGCCGACGTGGCTGTGTTGACGTGAGTAACAACTGGTGGCTGTGCATAGAGATAGAGGTGTGACTGGAACCACAAGTGAGAGAATGGTCATTTGACACACGTGACATCGTCCCGTGGATGCACACTCGATCACACCTCCGCCCACTACCCTCCTCCCTTTCCCCCATCAGGGCGTGGTGGAGAGTGGGCGCAGTGCAGTGGACGAGTCATTGCAGACAGGAGAGGCGGCCACAGTGCCCAAGCGTAGAGGAGCTACTGTTGCTGCTGGCACCGTCAACTGGGTGAGTGGTTGCGTGGAGGCAAGTGGCAAAGTGAGTGTCTACTGCACGTAAGGTAGGGGCACGAGTCATTGCAGACAGGAGAGGCGGCCACAGTGCCTAGATGCAGAGGAGCCACAGTTGCTGACATTCAAGCCCAAGCCCAACATTCAAGCCCAAGCCCAACATGCTAGCACCGTCAACTGGGTGAGTGGTTGCGGGAGAGTGGCAGGGACATGTTGTAAAGAGAAGGGCCAAGTGCGTTTTGTAACTTTGTGAGTGCAACAGCAACAGCTACGGCCACCAGATGTGCATCATGTGAGTGGCTTGGCAAGTAGAAGAGGCACAGCTTATCCAAGCCTCCCTTCCCGTACACTTACCTTCCCTTCTCTCCCATCAGGAGGATCCCATAGTGGTCTCAGCAATGGCCACCGGCGCCAGCTGCGCCTGTGATATGGCACGGCGGGTGGGTGGAGGACGCACAGCAGCACATGCCCCCATTTACGATGTACTAGCACCCCATTTCCTTCCCATTCCCATCAGGAGGGGCCCATAGTGGTGTCAGCAACGGCAACAGGCGCCAGCTGCGCCGTGTGTGAGATGGCACAGCGGGTGGAGGATGCACCGCAGCCCAATCCCCCTCTCCCTGCATGCCTTCCCCTCCTGCCATTTTGAACCCACGTTCCCCCTACAGGAGGGCCCTATAGTGGTGTCAGCAACAGCAACAGGAGCAAGCTGTGCCGTGTGTGAGATGGCACGGCGGGTGGAGGATGCACAGCAGCGCACGGCACCGGTGCAGCGCCTAGCAGACGCCATCGCAGGGCCGTTCGTGTTCACCATCATGAGTCTCTCCGCTGCCACCTTTGCGTTTTGGTGAGAGGGAATCAGGGCGCACAGCAGGGGACAGCACCAGTGCAACACTCGTGCATTCAGCGACTAGCAGACGCCATCGCATGGCCCTTTGTGTTCACCGTCATGTCTCTCTTTGCTGGCACCTTTGCGTTCTGGTGAGTGGGAAGGGATTTTCCACAGCTTGCTGGTCCCTCATTGTCCAACATGGTGGGGGTGCACCTTTTTCCCCCTCCGCTCTCCCCCCCCTCTCCCAGGTACATGGTGGGAGTGCATCTCTACCCAGCAGTGCTGCTGTCGAACTTTGCAGGAGACGACTCCAACCCCCTCGTGCTCAGCCTCCGACTTGTGCATCCCCACCTCCCCTCCCCCACATTCTCCTCCCCCTCTCCTCCCCCCCACCTTCTCCTCCCTCCCACCCCACCAGGTACACAGTGGGGGTGCACCTATACCCAGCCGTGCTGCTCTCAGACTTTGCAGGCGACGACTCGGATCCTCTCGTGCTCAGCCTCCGCCTCGCCATCAGCGTGCTGGTGAGAGGACCATTGTCGTTAGTGCTGGCGAGGGTGGCAGGAGCGCGCTGGTGAGGGAGTAGATGGCTTAGAAGTGGACTCGGACCCCCTCGTGCTCAGCCTCCGCCTCGCCATTAACGTGGTGGTAATGACACGAGCATCGCCCTTAGTGTTGGTGAGGTGTAACCAGCGTGCTGGTAAGGCATGAGTGCAACCAGCGTGCTGGTGAGAAAGGACACGGCTATTGAGATGCCGCAAAGTCAATTCTGACCCCCTCGTGCTCAGTCTGCGCCTACCATCAGCGTGCTGGTGAAGCTAGGAGCTACCAGGTAATGGTAATGGTACCACTAATACTACTATTACTATTACCACTGCCATTACCATTACCATTACCATTACCACTCCCACTACCATTACTATTATTATTAGCATTACCACTACCATTACTATTACCGTTACCATTACCACTACAATTACCTTTACTATTACCATTACCATTACCATTGCCACTACCACTACCATTACCATTACAATTACTATTACAACTGCCACTATCATTGCCATTACCATTACCACCATTACTATTACTTTTACCATTACCATTACCAGTACCATTACCATTACCATTACCACTACCATTATCGTTACCACTCCCACTACCATTACTATTACCATTAGCATTACCACTACCATTACCGTTACTATTACCACTACCATTATCTTTACTATTACCACTACTATTACCATTGCCACTACCACTACCACTACCATTACCATTACTACTGCCACTATCATTGTCATTACCATTACCATTACTATTATTTTACCATTATAATTACCATTACTATTACCACTACCACTACCACTATCATTAACATTACCATTACTATTACAATTACTTTTACTATTATTATTACCATTACCATTATTATTACCATTACCATTACCATTACTGTTAGTTCTAGTGAGGTGGAGTGCAACCAGCGTGCTGGTGAGAAAGGACACGGCGGTTGAGATGCCGCAAAGTCAACTCTGACCCCCTCGTGCTCAGCCTGCGCCTCGCCATCAGCGTGCTGTTACTGAAACAAGCATCGCCTTTTCACTACGTGAATTCTCTTGCCCCTCTCTTCCCAACCATTCCCACATGTGTGTCTCTAATCCCCAACCCTTTTATACCCAACCCCTTGCTTCCCAACCCCCATAGTCCCCACCTAGAGATGAGCATATGCCCCGCGCGGGTCGGGTCAGTGGATTCATTTGCCTGGCCCGTGCGGGCCGACCCGACTCGACCATGGAACTCGGGCCGAGTCGGGTCGGGTTTCGGGTCAGGCTTGATCCGACCCAAATTCGGGTCAGGACCAGGGCAATCGGGTCAGGCTTTTGGCCCGACCTGATTTTGACTTTGCAGTGTACGAAACCCTAAACAAATTAGTGGCTGAACTCTGGTGCCAAGGCTCGTGGGAAGGTACCCGGCCAGGTTGGGTCGGGTCGGGTCGGGTCGGGCCGGTCCATTTGCTCATCTCTACCCCCATCAGGTTCCCCCCATCAGGTTCCCCCATCAGGTTCCCCCCATCAGGTTCCCCCCATCAGGTTCCCCCCATCAGGTTCCCCCCATCAGGTTCCCCCCACCCATCAGGTTCCCCCCATCAGGTTCCCCCCATCTGGTTCCCCCCATCAGGTTCCCCCCATCAGGTTCCCCCCATCAGGTTCCCCCCATCAGGTTCCCCCCATCAGGTTCCCCCATCAGGTTCCCCCCATCAGGTTCCCCCCATCAGGTTCCCCCCATCAGGTTCCCCCCATCAGGTTCCCCCCACCCATCAGGTTCCCCCCCATCAGGTTCCCCCCATCTGGTTCCCCCCATCAGGTTCCCCCCATCAGGTTCCCCCCATCAGGTTCCCCCCATCAGGTTCCCCCCATCAGGTTCCCCCCATCAGGTTCCCCCCATCAGGTTCCCCCCATCAGGTTCCCCCCATCAGGTTCCCCCCATCAGGTTCCCCCCATCAGGTTCCCCCCATCAGGTTCCCCCCATCAGGTTCCCCCCATCAGGTTCCCCCCATCAGGTTCCCCCCATCTGGTTCCCCCCATCTGGTTCCCCCCATCAGGTTCCCCCCATCAGGTTCCCCCCATCAGGTTCCCCCCATCAGGTTCCCCCCATCAGGTTCCCCCCATCAGGTTCCCCCCATCAGGTTCCCCCATCAGGTTCCCCCCATCAGGTTCTCCCCATCAGGTTCCCCCCATCAGGTTCCCCCCATTACCATTACATTTACCATTACATTTACCATTACCATTACCATTACCATTACTATTACCATTACATTTACCATTACTATTACCATTACCACTACCATTACCGTTACCATTACCATTACCGTTACTATTACCATTACATTTACCATTACTATTACCATTACCACTACAATTACCATTACCATTACCATGACCATTACCGTTAGTTCTAGTGAGGTCGAGTGCAACCAGCGTGCTGGTGAGAAAGGACACGGCGGTCGAGATGCCGCAAGGTCAACTCTGACCCCCTCGTGCTCAGCCTGCGCCTCGCCATCAGCGTGCTGTTACTGAAACAAGCATCGCCTTTTCACTACGTGAATTCTCTTGCTCCTCCTTCCCAGCCATTCCCACATGTGCGTCTCCAATCCCCACCCCTTTTATACCCAACCCCATGCTTCCCAAACCCCTTAGTCCCCACCTCCCTGACTCCACTGCACCTGCTGGTCTGCTCCCTTTGATCCCTGCTTCTCACTCCCCACCCCAGGTGGTCGCCTGCCCGTGTGCGCTCGGCCTCGCCACGCCCACCGCCATCCTCGTTGGCACGTCCCTGGGTACGGTCTCTCTGCACCGCACCACACCTCCCTGCACCGCAGCACACCTCTCCCTGTCTCTGCCCTCTGGCCTCGCAACCACTCGTCCATGCCCTCATATCCCACCCACCCACCCATCCCATGCCAAACAATGTCTCTTAAGACGATCTGCTACAACTCTGGTAACTTGCGTAACTCTCAAGTATAAGAACCTGCATGCGTGCATGGCAGGAGTTTGGAGGGGGCTGCTGCTGCGCGGGGGAGGCTGGCAGCAGTCGATGTGGTGTTTTGCGTCGACTCTGAACACGCTTCCCATGACCTCATTCACATGGATGGATGCGTGTGTGTGTGCATGGCAGGTGCGAGGAGGGGGCTGCTGCTGCGCGGGGGAGACGTGTTGGAGAGGCTGGCAGCGGTGGATGTGGTGGCGTTTGACAAGGTGAGTGAGTCATATGAGATTAGCTGAGGCTTCGAGAGGAGACACGCTAGGTGAAGCGAGGCACCTGGCGGCAGGTGGCAAGGTGAGAGAGGCTGGAAGGAGCGATGCACTGTGTGACGCGTTGGAGAGGCTGGCAGGAGTCGATGTGGTGGCGTTTGATAAGGTCTGTGGGAGACGCTAGGTGTGACGGGTTTCTGTTTTGGTTTAACAAGGTGAGATGCTCTGTGTGACGCGTTGGAGAGGCTGGCAGGAGTCGATGTGGTGGCGTTTGATAAGGTCAGTGGGAGACGCTATTCGAGGTGAGACGAGGCGAGGTGAGGTGAGCGCACCTGATTGTTGTTACCAGATGGCTCTGGTTACCAGACCAGACGAGAGAGAGAGAATGCAACCAGCACCTACTATACTAGCTCATCCGAGTTGCAGCCAATCTCCTTCTGCGGACAGACTCTTCTCACATTCCCTCCTCTTGGCCCTCCCCTTCCGCATGTCCTTCCTCTCCACCTCTCCACCTCTCCCCCTCCCCCAGACCGGCACGCTGACAGCAGGACAGCCCCAGGTGTCTGCTGTGGTGCCTGCAGCCCACCTGCCGCCCACCACTCTCCACCACTCACAATCCCACTCCACCTCCCTCAACCGAGACCCAGCCACAGCATCAAGCCGCAGACACACCACCACCACTGCTACTGCCGTTGCTACTGATTCAGATACTGCCACAGATACTGCCACTGATACTGCCACTGATACTGCCACTGATACTGCCACTGATACTGCCACTGATACTGCCACTGATACTGCCACTGATACTGCCACTGATACTGCCACTGATACTGCAACTGTGTCTCTCCTGCAACTGGCAGCAGCAGCAGAGGCCACCACTCGCCACCCAGTAGCCGCCGCCATCACCGCCCATGCCGCCCGCCTCTCCGCCGCCCCGCTGCCGCCCGTTTCGTCTGCTCTCACTGTTCCCGGGCGGGGCGTGGTGGCTGTAGTGGACGGGAGGGAGATTCACGTGGGAGGCTTTGATTGGGTGGCGAAGCACTGCTTGGGGGGGACAAGGGAGAGGGAGGGGCGGGGAGGGAGCGGGAAAGGGAGTGAGGTGGAAGGGGAGAGGGAGAGATGGCGGAGAGTGGAAGAGGGGGTGTTGAGAGGGGAGTGTGGGGGCGTGGGAGGGAGTGTGGAGGGAGGGGATTGGGGCAGCAGGGATAGCAGCAGCAGCCACACGTTTGTGTATGTTGGTGAAGTGAGGAGCGAGGAGGAGAGGAGTGAAGGGGACACGGGCGAGGGAGGAGAGGGGGAGAGGAGGGGGGCGGCGGAGGAGGGAAAGAGTGTGGGCGGCATTCTGGGATGCATCTGTGTGAGCGACTCACTGCGCGCCGAGGCAAAGGAGACCGTGAGCCGGTGAGTGGTGGAGAGCTGTTGAGCAGACATGAGTGCAGTAGAGTCAATTGCACAGTCATGTGTGGGGGGATGGAGGGCAGCAGTCACTTGCGTGGCACAGGCACTTGCGTCTTGAAAGTCACAAGACTCTGTCCCATCCCTCCTTCCCCACCCTCCATTTTCCCACCCACAGGCTGGAATCGCTGGGAGTGTCAGCAGCAGTGCTGTCGGGCGATCGCCAGGCCGCAGTGACGCGCGTGGCAGAGGTGGATGATTCTTGAAACACCTTGTTAGTCAAAAGGCTCTGGCTCTCGCTTCCTCCCTGCACCCTCCACAGGTTGGAATCAGTGGGTGTATCAGCAGCGGTGCTGTCGGGCGACCGGCAGGCAGCAGTGACCCGCGTGGCAAGTGTGGTTGATTCTTGAAACATCTTGTTTGTCAAAAAGCTCTGTCTCCACCTTCCACAGGCTGGAATCGCTGGGAGTGTCAGCGTCGGTGCTGTCGGGCGACAGGCAGGCTGCAGTGACGCGCGTGGCCGAGGCCGTTGGCATCGCTGGCCCCGGGAAGGTTCTTGGAAGGCTGCTGCCGGAGGGCAAGGCGGAGGCGATTGAGAGCATGCAACGGGACGGTCACAGCGTGGCGATGGTGAGAGGAAGAAGGGAAGGGGGGGGGAGGGTGGGGTGGAGGAAGGGAGAAGGGCGGGGGGGATGGGAGGAAGGGAGTAGGTGAGAAAAAGTGTGGGCAAAACTGCTTCCCGAGGGCAAGGCGGAGGCGATTGAGACCATGCAACGGGACGGTCACAGTGTAGCCATGGTGAGAGAGAGAGGAGGAAGGGAGTGGGAGTGGGTGAGTAGGGAGGAATAGGGGGAGGGCGTGCTGAGAGACAGGCACAGCGTGGCGATGGTAAGAGAAGAGGGGGGCGAGGGTGGGAAGAGGGGAGGATGGTGTGGAGAGTGAATGGGGACGGTGAGAGGGAATGGAGAGGCAAGCAGCACATGGATGTGGCAGAACCGCCACTGAGCGGGCGGTGCAGCGTATGAGCGGGCGGTGCAGCGTATGAGCGGGCGGTGCAGCGTATGAGCGGGCGGTGCAGCGTATGAGCGGGCGGTGCAGCGTATGATTGAGCGGTGCAGCGTATGAGCGTGCGGTGCAGCGTATGAGCGGGCGGTGCAGCGTACGTGCGTGCGGTGCAGCGTATTAGCGGGCGGTGCAGCGTATGAGCGGGCGCCATCATTGTCGTTCATTGTGCAGCTGGCTCATGTCCTCACTGCTGCCTTGTCCCCCACCACTGACGCCAGGTGGGCGATGGCATCAACGACACTCTCGCCCTGGCCCGTGCACACGTGGGAGTGGCAGTACCACCCCCGGGTGCCACTTCCGCTGTCATGAGCTCTGCTCATTGTACTTCTGGCCGTTGCCTTGTCCCTCTCCTCCCTCCCCTCTCCCTCCCCCCCCCCCCCCACACACCAGGTGGGAGACGGCATTAACGACACCCTCGCCCTGGCCCGTGCAGACGTGGGAGTGGCAGTGCCTCCCCCGGGTGCCACCTCCGCTGTCATGAGTGCTGCTGCCGATGCCGCTGACCTCGTGCTGCTCGGCAACCGACTCACACAGGTGCGGCCTTTGAGGTCCCACGATAGTGCGACCTTTTAGGCGCCCCGCTAGTGGCAGTCAGTGCCTCCCCCGGGTGCCACCTCTGCCGTCATGAGTGCTGCTGCCGATGCCGCTGACCTCGGCAACCGACTCACCCAGGTGTGACCTACGTACCTCGCCTGGGTGCCGCCTCCACTGACCTTGTGCTGCTGGTCAACCGACTCACCCAGGTACGCCTGTTGAGGCGCCTCATAGGTGGCAGTCAGTGCCTCCCCTCTCCCGTCCCATCACTCGTTTTTGTCTGCTTTCAACCGTTTTCTCTGTCCTCCTCCCCTTCCTTCAGCACTCCCTCCCTCCTGTCCTCCCTGCCTCCTTTGTTTCTCTGCCACATCCGCACCTTATCTTCGTACTCATCCTCCCATGCCTCGCTTCTGTGTTCCTACCCTCGCAACTCCCCCCCACCACCAGCTAGTGGAGGCGGTGCATCTAGCGCGAGCCACAATGAACCGGGTGCGCCTCAACCTCGCGTGGGCCCTCGCATACAACTGCCCCTCCCTCTTCTCCCTCTTCTCCCTCTTCTCCCTCCTCTCCCTCTTCTCCCTCTTCTCCCTCCTCTCCCTCTTCTCCCTCTTCTCCCTCTTCTCCCTCTTCTCCCTCCTCTCCCTCTTCTCCCTCTTCTCCCTCCTCTCCCTCTTCTCCCTCTTCTCCCTCTTCTCCCTCTTCTCCCTGCTCTCCCTGCTCTCCCTGCTCTCCCTGCTCACCCTGCTCTCCCTGCTCTCCCTGCTCTCCCTGCTCTCCCTGCTCACCCTGCTCTCCCTGCTCTCCCTCCTCTCCCTGCTCTCCCTGCTCTCCCTGCTCACCCTGCTCTCCCTGCTCTCCCTGCTCTCCCTGCTCTCCCTCCTCTCCCTGCTCTCCCTGCTCTCCCTGCTCTCCCTGCTCTCCCTGCTCTCCCTCCTCTCCCTGCTCTCCCTCCTCTCCCTGCTCTCCCTGCTCTCCCTGCTCACCCTGCTCACCCTGCTCTCCCTGCTCTCCCTGCTCTCCCTGCTCTCCCTGCTCTCCCTGCTCTCCCTCCTCTCCCTGCTCTCCCTGCTCTCCCTGCTCTCCCTGCTCTCCCTGCTCTCCCTGCTCTCCCTGCTCTCCCTGCTCTCCCTGCTCTCCCTGCTCTCCCTCCTCTCCCTGCTCTCCCTCCTCTCCCTGCTCTCCCTGCTCTCCCTGCTCACCCTGCTCTCCCTGCTCTCCCTCCTCTCCCTGCTCTCCCTGCTCTCCCTGCTCACCCTGCTCTCCCTGCTCTCCCTGCTCTCCCTGCTCTCCCTCCTCTCCCTGCTCTCCCTGCTCTCCCTGCTCTCCCTGCTCTCCCTGCTCTCCCTCCTCTCCCTGCTCTCCCTCCTCTCCCTGCTCTCCCTGCTCTCCCTGCTCACCCTGCTCACCCTGCTCTCCCTGCTCTCCCTGCTCTCCCTGCTCTCCCTGCTCTCCCTGCTCTCCCTCCTCTCCCTGCTCTCCCTCCTCTCCCTGCTCTCCCTGCTCTCCCTGCTCACCCTGCTCTCCCTGCTCTCCCTGCTCTCCCTCCTCTCCCTGCTCTCCCTCCTCTCCCTGCTCTCCCTGCTCTCCCTGCTCACCCTGCTCTCCCTGCTCTCCCTGCTCTCCCTGCTCTCCCTGCTCTCCCTGCTCTCCCTGCTCTCCCTGCTCTCCCTGCTCTCCCTGCTCTCCCTCCTCTCCCTGCTCTCCCTCCTCTCCCTGCTCTCCCTGCTCTCCCTGCTCACCCTGCTCTCCCTGCTCTCCCTCCTCTCCCTGCTCTCCCTGCTCTCCCTGCTCACCCTGCTCTCCCTGCTCTCCCTGCTCTCCCTGCTCTCCCTGCTCTCCCTCCTCTCCCTGCTCTCCCTCCTCTCCCTGCTCTCCCTGCTCTCCCTGCTCACCCTGCTCTCCCTGCTCTCCCTCCTCTCCCTGCTCTCCCTGCTCTCCCTGCTCACCCTGCTCTCCCTGCTCTCCCTGCTCTCCCTCCTCTCCCTGCTCTCCCTGCTCTCCCTGCTCTCCCTGCTCTCCCTCCTCTCCCTGCTCTCCCTCCTCTCCCTGCTCTCCCTCCTCTCCCTGCTCTCCCTGCTCTCCCTGCTCACCCTGCTCTCCCTGCTCTCCCTCCTCTCCCTGCTCTCCCTGCTCTCCCTGCTCACCCTGCTCTCCCTGCTCTCCCTCCTCTCCCTGCTCTCCCTGCTCTCCCTGCTCTCCCTGCTCTCCCTGCTCTCCCTGCTCACCCTGCTCTCCCTGCTCTCCCTCCTCTCCCTGCTCTCCCTGCTCTCCCTGCTCACCCTGCTCTCCCTGCTCTCCCTGCTCTCCCTCCTCTCCCTGCTCTCCCTGCTCTCCCTGCTCTCCCTGCTCTCCCTGCTCTCCCTGCTCTCCCTCCTCTCCCTCCTCTCCCTGCTCTCCCTGCTCTCCCTGCTCCCCCTGCTCTCCCTGCTCTCCCTGCTCTCCCTGCTCTCCCTGCTCTCCCTGCTCTCCCTGCTCTCCCTGCTCTCCCTCCTCTCCCTGCTCTCCCTGCTCTCCCTGCTCTCCCTGCTCTCCCTGCTCTCCCTGCTCTCCCTGCTCACCCTGCTCTCCCTCCTCTCCCTGCTCTCCCTGCTCTCCCTGCTCACCCTGCTCTCCCTGCTCTCCCTCCTCTCCCTGCTCTCCCTGCTCTCCCTGCTCACCCTGCTCTCCCTGCTCTCCCTGCTCTCCCTCCTCTCCCTGCTCTCCCTGCTCTCCCTGCTCTCCCTGCTCTCCCTGCTCTCCCTCCTCTCCCTGCTCTCCCTGCTCTCCCTGCTCTCCCTGCTCTCCCTGCTCTCCCTGCTCTCCCTCCTCTCCCTGCTCTCCCTGCTCTCCCTGCTCTCCCTGCTCTCCCTCCTCTCCCTGCTCTCCCTCCTCTCCCTGCTCTCCCTGCTCTCCCTCCTCTCCCTGCTCTCCCTGCTCTCCCTGCTCACCCTGCTCTCCCTGCTCTCCCTCCTCTCCCTGCTCTCTCTGCTCTCCCTGCTCACCCTGCTCTCCCTGCTCTCCCTGCTCTCCCTCCTCTCCCTGCTCTCCCTGCTCTCCCTCCTCTCCCTGCTCTCCCTGCTCTCCCTCCTCTCCCTGCTCTCCCTCCTCTCCCTGCTCTCCCTGCTCTCCCTGCTCTCCCTGCTCTCCCTCCTCTCCCTGCTCACCCTGCTCTCCCTCCTCTCCCTGCTCTCCCTCCTCTCCCTGCTCTCCCTGCTCTCCCTCCTCTCCCTGCTCACCCTGCTCTCCCTCCTCTCCCTGCTCTCCCTGCTCTCCCTCCTCTCCCTGCTCACCCTGCTCTCCCTCCTCTCCCTGCTCTCCCTGCTCTCCCTGCTCTCCCTGCTCTCCCTGTTCTCCCTGCTCTCCCTGCTCTCCCTGTTCTCCCTCCTCTCCCTGCTCTCCCTCCTCTCCCTGCTCTCCCTGCTCTCCCTGCTCACCCTGCTCTCCCTGCTCTCCCTCCTCTCCCTGCTCTCCCTGCTCACCCTGCTCTCCCTGCTCTCCCTGCTCTCCCTCCTCTCCCTGCTCTCCCTGCTCTCCCTGCTCTCCCTGCTCTCCCTGCTCTCCCTGCTCTCCCTGCTCACCCTGCTCTCCCTCCTCTCCCTGCTCTCCCTGCTCTCCCTGCTCACCCTGCTCTCCCTGCTCTCCCTCCTCTCCCTGCTCTCCCTGCTCTCCCTGCTCACCCTGCTCTCCCTGCTCTCCCTGCTCTCCCTCCTCTCCCTGCTCTCCCTGCTCTCCCTGCTCTCCCTGCTCTCCCTGCTCTCCCTGCTCTCCCTGCTCTCCCTGCTCTCCCTCCTCTCCCTGCTCTCCCTGCTCTCCCTGCTCTCCCTGCTCTCCCTCCTCTCCCTGCTCTCCCTGCTCTCCCTCCTCTCCCTGCTCTCCCTGCTCTCCCTGCTCTCCCTGCTCTCCCTGCTCTCCCTGCTCTCCCTCCTCTCCCTGCTCTCCCTCCTCTCCCTGCTCTCCCTGCTCTCCCTGCTCACCCTGCTCTCCCTGCTCTCCCTCCTCTCCCTGCTCTCCCTGCTCTCCCTGCTCACCCTGCTCTCCCTGCTCTCCCTCCTCTCCCTGCTCTCCCTCCTCTCCCTGCTCTCCCTGCTCTCCCTGCTCACCCTGCTCTCCCTGCTCTCCCTCCTCTCCCTGCTCTCCCTGCTCTCCCTGCTCACCCTGCTCTCCCTGCTCTCCCTGCTCTCCCTGCTCTCCCTGCTCTCCCTGCTCTCCCTCCTCTCCCTGCTCTCCCTCCTCTCCCTGCTCTCCCTGCTCTCCCTGCTCACCCTGCTCTCCCTGCTCTCCCTCCTCTCCCTGCTCTCCCTGCTCTCCCTGCTCACCCTGCTCTCCCTGCTCTCCCTGCTCTCCCTCCTCTCCCTGCTCTCTCTGCTCTCCCTGCTCTCCCTGCTCTCCCTGCTCTCCCTGCTCTCCCTGCTCACCCTGCTCTCCCTCCTCTCCCTGCTCTCCCTGCTCTCCCTGCTCACCCTGCTCTCCCTGCTCTCCCTCCTCTCCCTGCTCTCCCTGCTCTCCCTGCTCACCCTGCTTTCCCTGCTCTCCCTGCTCTCCCTCCTCTCCCTGCTCTCCCTGCTCTCCCTGCTCTCCCTGCTCTCCCTGCTCTCCCTCCTCTCCCTCCTCTCCCTGCTCTCCCTGCTCTCCCTGCTCACCCTGCTCTCCCTGCTCTCCCTGCTCTCCCTCCTCTCCCTGCTCTCCCTGCTCTCCCTGCTCTCCCTGCTCTCCCTGCTCTCCCTGCTCACCCTGCTCTCCCTCCTCTCCCTGCTCTCCCTCCTCTCCCTGCTCACCCTGCTCTCCCTGCTCTCCCTCCTCTCCCTGCTCTCCCTGCTCTCCCTGCTCACCCTGCTCTCCCTGCTCTCCCTGCTCTCCCTCCTCTCCCTGCTCTCCCTGCTCTCCCTGCTCTCCCTGCTCTCCCTGCTCTCCCTGCTCTCCCTCCTCTCCCTGCTCTCCCTCCTCTCCCTGCTCTCCCTGCTCTCCCTGCTCACCCTGCTCTCCCTGCTCTCCCTCCTCTCCCTGCTCTCCCTGCTCTCCCT